CGTCACGAGTGATCCAACAAACAGAACATTCAAACAGACAAAAATAAGCAGTAACGTTTTTTTGGGGGGGGTGTCACATCCGGTGATGCACAGGGGTTCCTCCTGGCTCTGCACTCAGGAATTCCTCCTGGCGGTGCTTGGAGGACCCTATGGGATGCTGGGGATCGAACCCAGGTCGGCCATGTGCAAGACAAACGCCCTCCCTGTTGTTGCTCCAGCCCCGAAGTAACTTGTCTTAAACTCAGTTCTGGATGGAGCAGGTGATGAGCCAAACAGAACGATCTGATCTTAGGCCCCTTCTGCTCCCAACCGTCACACACTTTAAATGTATTTCTCATTCTCCTGTCATCAAATTAATATTCTTACATGACCCGTAAATGACCAACAACTGGAGGCTTTGAAAACTTGCATCTCCTCGGGACATGTGATGCGGCAAATTAGGTCAGGCAGAAACAGTCTTAATTTCTCTCTCTTATTATTTTTTTTGGGGGGAGGATTGGCTATACCCGTGGGCCAGGACCTTTTCTACATTCTAACCAAGAGGGTACAAGGTCTGCACTGTTAAAGATCACTGGCTTGTCTTCTCTGGGTCTTGAAGAGCTCTCACCCAGGGGGGGAAATGCGAATATTCCTGTTGCTAAGACCTTATAGAAACATCACCTTGAGCCATGGGAGGGAGCAAGCCTGGTGGGGAGGAGGGCTCCAAGCACCCCCAATAAAGCAGAGGGGTGGTACAGACACAATTGGTGCAGAGGGAGGCTAACTGGGCTGACTTTCATTTCCGCTGATGATTTTATTTTGCCCAGCTGTATCAAGACACCATTCGCCTGGGGCTGGAGCGATAGCACAGCGGGGAGGGCTTTTGCCTTGCACGCGGCCAACGTGGGTTCGATCCCCGGCATCCCATAGGGTCCCCCGAGCACCGCCAGGAGTGATTCCTGAGTGCAGAGCCAGGAGGAACCCCTAGGCATCACTGGGTATGCCCCCCCCCCACCAAAACGACACCATTAGCCTGTCATTGTTGCAAAGATGTACAATGGGATCTCATTGACGTACAACTGATTCTGTCTGTACCCACTGCCTCACCTTGCCACGTTTTTTTTTTCTTGCTAAGAGACTGTCTGGATTCTCTCTGCAGCTTTTTTATACAACTCCAGTCTCCAGCTTGCATGTGAGTTACACCCCCCATACAAATTTCTCTTGGACCCGCTGGCCCCCATTACAATAGCTTTCAGACTCTCGGGTGTTTTATCGTTGTTGTTGTTTTTCTTTTGGGGTCCCACCCGGCGATGCTCAGGGGTTCCTCCTGGCTCTGCACTCAGGGATCACTTCTGGCGGCGCTCGGGGGATCCTATGGGATGCCGGGGATCGAACCTGGGTTGGCCGCGTGCAGGCAAACGCCCTCCCTGTGGTACTGTTGCTCCAGCCCCCTATACCTCCTTTTAGTTAGGTCCTGTGTAGGGGCCACACTGGGCCTTGTTCAGAGGCTGCTCCCGGCTCTGTGCTCAGGGGCCTGGGCTCGCAACATGGAAAGTTTGGACTCGCGGACTCACTCATCTGTCCCTCCAACCCTTGCTCTTCTGCCTTCTCAGACCTGTGATCTCCCACTGCTTTTGGGCGCATGCTCTTATCAGTCAAAAGGATTCGGGCCTGTGACCTCTTAATACAGTTGGCTTCTGGGTGAATAAACTCGGTATCTCTGCCCCCAATTCCGAGGCACCTGGAGAGCCTTGTATGAACAGCTGCGTTCAGACACTCTTGTATTACAACACGATGCGGAACAACAATGGAAACGCTTAAAGGATTAAGAAACTGCAGGCATAAAGAGACGCTCCACATTTTCCTTTCCACGGTCCAGTCAGTGTTCCCTGCTCTGCACCCCATGAGACACGAGCCCCGTTTTGGCACCCCTAATTAAGAAGAGCATCATTCCTTGCTGAGAGTGGGTGGTGGCGGGTTTTTTTTTTCCACCCTGCTAAGCATTTATGTAAACACTCGGCAGCCAGCCTGTCTTCAAGGTTATTTCTCTGACCTACACCTCCAGCTCAGTGGGCCGGATGGGGTCACGGGCCCTCAGCGTCGGGAAGTGGCCTGGATGTGTCGAGACTCAAACTTGGGGCCTGGGCCTCGGGTCTTTTTTTTCTTCTTCTTTTGCTTTTTGGGTCACACCCAGCGATGCTCAGGGGTTCCTCCTGGCTCTGCACTCAGGAATCACTCCTGGCGGTGCTCGGGGGACCCTATGGGATGCCGGGAATCGAACCCGGGTCGGCCACGTGCAAGGCAAACGCCCTACCCGCTGTGCTATCGCTCCAGCCTCCTGGGCCTCGGTTCTTACTCTGCTGAGACAGATCTGGAGCTGGGAATGACACCTGGGAAACAGGAGTGGAAGGCTCCAGGACTCCAGCAGTGTGGGCACAACTGTGACAGGAAGTAAGACATACACATCTCTATAAAGATCTTGCCACCTGCCCCCCCACCCCCCCGCTGGGGTGGCCCCAAGCAGAACTTCATCCTCAGAACTCCACCCTCACTCCGGACCTCCAGCCTCTGTGGCCGAGTGCCCAGGAGCGAAGACCAGGGCTCCTCATCACCTCTCAGGACCCTCTAACACAAAACGATCGCTGGGACAGCAGCGAAGCGAGACTTCCAGCCAGCTCCAATGCATGGAAGTCTCTTGTGTGTGAACCTGGTCTTACTTTTTTTTGGGGGGGAGGGTCACACCCAGCGATGCTCAGGGGTTCCTCCTGGCTCCGCACTCAGGAACACTCCTGCTGGTGCTCAGGGGACCCTATGGGATGCCGGGGATCGAACCCAGGTCAGCCACTTGCCAGGCAAACGCCCGCCCTGCTGCGCTGTTGCTCAGGCCGCGCATTTAGATGATTTAATAACACACTACTATGCAAAACGGCCGGGAGGGCCTGACAGACTCTGGGTAACTTGAAACAGTAACTGCTCCTCAGAGTTGATTCGGTGCCGATGGGTCTACAATGAACTTTTTGCACTTTTCCACTGCTACATTGGTGAGTCTGCGGGGTGTGTGTGTGTGTGTGTGTGTGTGTGTGAGAGAGAGAGAGAGAGAAAGAGAATGGGTGTAGGTTTGGGTCACACCTGGAGATACTCAAAGTTTACTACTCCTGATTCAGTGCTCAGGGACTGCTCTGGGAGAGACTCAGGGGCCATATGAAACCATGTGCAAGGCAAGCGACTTTACCCCTGTACTGTATGTGCGGAGGTAGATGGTCATACTCTGAGCACTGATTCAAACTTTTGATGGGTGGGAACTAACGTTTCTTGAGCATCGAGCTGCAAACGCTCTTTGGGGTTTTACTTGTGACCTCCTGCCATTCCATTTTCACCGACACCGTTTGCTACCTGTCATCCCTGCTTTATAGATTGAGAAATGAAGGTGCGGCGGATTTAAAGTCAAGGTCAACCAGCCCAGAGTTTAATCCAGCTCCGCCTGACTCCAAAACTCATTCTCTCCTTCCACAGTATGGGACAGTGAATCAAAGAACCGAACTAATCCGAGAATAATGACCGAGTAAAACATACCATCAACAAACGGAAAGTGCCTCTCCCGTAGTACTAATTCCCGAGTTAAGTCTTCCTAGCCCTGGTTCCAAGGCTGAAGGCCTTGGCAAAGGGGGTAAATCGACCTTCCGATTCTGCACTAACGTAACGTATGTTAGTTAGGTCGCTGTTTCTCCACCTGCCCTTATCTGACAGATCAAACAGAGCAGAAGGGGGCCAGAGGTGAGCTGGCACGATTCTAGGGACCTCTGCCTCAGAGATCGTTACAGGGGCATTACCCAACCCTCCTCCCTTCAGAAAATCTTTGCGGCAAAACTCCGCGCCAGAAGAACTGAGTAGCGAGTGATGTGAAAGGCAAACTTCCTCATTAAAAAATGAAGACCTCTCCTGGCAGCTCAGTTTTAGAATGGGCACAGCCACGGGGTAAATGATCCCATGCCCAAGGGCGATCCCCAAACAGTTCTCTCCGGGGAACCTGGTAACCAGCTTGGGGGTCCCCAGATAGGGTTTATGGGGACAAGACCATCTCCCTGTCTACACCGACAGGCGAGACTTCAATCTTTCCATTTTTTTTTTCTTGTTTGCTTTTGGTGGGGAGATGAAATCCATCAAGGCAGAGGCTTGGCTGCACAACGCTTTCAAACGCTAACACCTTTTCCTAGGTCTAAGAAAAGGTGTTAAGACACCTTTTCCTAGCTAAGACCATTTCCTAGGTCGAAGTCTCCTAGGGGACCTCGAGAAGGGTCGAGTGATCCGCTAGGGAGTTATTACTGCCCATCTGATCGAATTTACAGGTTTCTGCATTGATCGGGAAGGCTAAGGGATGGACTGGGATCTCGGTCGACTCCTTAGAGGATTTTTCTCCCCCCTATCCTTGGCAGCCCAGAGGGCCCTGTTTATTCTACACGCGAGCCGGCCGACGTTCACCCAACCCCACGAGAACGCCGGGGTCTCCCTCAAGGTCACACCTCCCTGGAGGTGGCCGGGCCGGCGGGGAATCCAGGTGTGTCCACAGGACAAGGTCGGGGTGGGGGAAGGGGTAGAGGAGGGCGCCCGCGGCAACCACACGCAAACACACACGCACATGCACACACACACACACACACGCACACACACAGTGCGGGTGGAGAGACCCTCCCGGGTGGGTGGGGGGTCGCGGGCTGCACCCCCCCGCCCCCCGGGGTCCGGCTAACGGGCCGGTGGCGGCTGCGGCAGGAAGCGTGACCTTCCCGGGTCTGGCTCCGCGTGCACCGGGCAGGGGGAGCGCTGGGAGGGTGTGGGGGGGCGTGGGAATCGTCTCGCTGGCAGGGGCCCGGGGGTCTCGTGGTGGGGGGCAGGCGGCGGAGGCGGCGGAGGCGGGGACCGCACCTGCGCGGCGGCGCACGCGGATGCTGCGGGGAGCCCGCGGGATGCGCGCGGGGAGCGGGATGCGCGCGGCGCGCCCGGCCCGCGCCCCCCCCAACAGTTACCTGCCGGGTGGTTGTACATGGGCCTCAGTTTCTCCGGGAGCATGAACTCCACCCGGTCCATGAGCCGGTGGTAGGTGGCCCGCAGGCCTCGGTAGCCCGCGGCCGACATCTCCGCCCGCTGCGACAGCGGCCGCGCGCGTGTCCCCGACCGGCGGCGAAGGGCGGCTGGACACTGGCCGCGGGCCCGGCGCCTCGCGACCTCCTCTCGCGGCGCGTGCCCTTCCCGGCGCCGCTCAGCCCGCCCCGGCGCTCGGGCCCGGGACCCCGGCGGGGGAGGCGGCAGGGGCGGAGTCTCGGCAACGGCCCGCCCCGCCGCTCCGCCTCGGGCCCGCGGCCGTCGCCGGCAGAGGCGGAGCCATAGCAACGCCGCCAAACAGACGCGCGCGCCGCCTCCCGCCCGCGGCCCGCCGCCGCGCGCCTGCGCACGCCGAGCGGCCGCGCCCGCTGATTGGCCGGGCCCGCGGCGTGGGCGGGGCCCGCGGCGCCCCCGCCCCTCGCGCGTCCGGTCCGGTCGGCCATGCTGGAGAAGGGAACGTGAAGCCGCGCCGGCGCCAGTCCTCCGCCGCTCGCTCAGGGCGCTGCCGGGAGAAGGGCCTTTCCGCGCCCGCACTAAAGATGGCGCCTCCCCACCCGCTTGGCCTCGCTCGCCTGCGAAACTCGGCCGGGAGCGCCCAGATCGCCCCTTCGTCTCCCTCTTCTCTCCCTCGGCCCGAAGAGGCGGACGGTCCGGGCGACAGGGGGCGGGGACTCCCTTTCCCAAGGTGAGGGCAGCCTCCCCCCGCGCCGGCCTCACCCCCCGGGGGGCGGGGCGCAGGGCGGGGAGGCGGGGCGCGTCATCCTCTCGCGAGAAGTGGGCCGGGGGGCGGGGCGGGGTTATAAAAAAAGAACGCCCGGACAACGACGACGGCGGGAGGGCGGAGTCTGGCCGCCCCCCGCTCCGCCTCCGCGTCCCCGAGGGGGGCCCCCCGAGGAGGACCGAGCGGTGTCTGGATGTCCTGGCGAGTGTGCGGGGCGGCATGAGGCGCGCCCAGGCCCGGGCGCGGCCGGCCCGGGCGGCGTGAGCGGCGCGCGCATGAGCCCCGGCGCGGGGGGTCGCTCGGCGCCGGCGGGGCCATGTCCCGGGGGGGCGCCTGCCCGCACCTGCTGTGGGACGTGCGCCAGCGCTCGCTGGGCTTGCAGGACCCGGCGCGCCTGCGGAGCCGCTACCTGGGTGAGCGCTGGGGGGGTGGGAGGGGGGAGGAGGGGCGGGGGTCCCGCTGGGGAGGGAGGGGGGATCCGCGGCGGGGAGGGGATCCCGCCGGCCCGCGACCCGCCGCGGCGCGCCCCGGAGGGTCCCCCGGGCGCTCCGCGCCGCGTCCCTCTCGCTCTGATACTGTAGCGGCTGCAAAGGGCAACATTGTTGCAAATTCCGTCTCGTTACTTTGTAGCGGAGGGCAGGGGCGTCCCGGTCTGGTTCTGACAACTGGGTTCTGGCGGTCCGGACGAGGACATCGCGTTGCCCCCCTCCTCCCAAAGTGCCACGCTGCAGGGGTCTCGGCCAGCGCCCAGCCCACCCTCCTCATCCTCCGTTGTTGCTTGCTTTCCAGCGCCTCCGGCGGCACATGCACTTTCCTGGGCAGAGAAAGTGGGGGAGAAAAACGTGAAAGTCAGCGGCGGGGTACTGCCCCGTGCTGGTGGTGGCCAGTAAGGGGTTTGCCTTCCCCGCGGCTGACCAACCCCCCTCCACCACCCCGGAGGGCCAGGAGTGACCCCTGAGCACCCGCAGGTGTGCACCACCCCCCTCCCTCAACAACGCAGTAAAAGTGAAATGAAAATCGCTCCTGGCGCCCATTGATCTCATCAGTGGCCGTTTGTGTCCGTTTTTTCCGTCCCAGCCCCGCTTCCTTCCCGTTCTCACCCCAGACAGGTGGTTTCTAGGCCAGGGGGGAGAGATGGTGTCCTGCGGCGCGGGAGGTCAGGGGGGAAGGGCGCCCCTGGAAGGTGGTGGAGGGACCCCTTTGATGAGGTGCTTGAGCCAGCCCCAGCTGTCCCCCCTCTCAGGGACCCCGCTGCTATGGAGTCCCTATGGAGTCGGGGGACACACACTTTCCCAGCAGCGCAGGCCACCCTCCGCGGCAGGACAGTGCAGGGGATATTTTGGTGTAAGGGGAGCAGCTCGGTCTTTTGAGTCTGGTTAAATCGGGCTCTGCTAAGAGCGTGCCCGGCCTTCAAGCTGCCCTCTGGCACCCGTCGGAATACCAGGCACGGGGACTTGCCAAGTTCTGCATGTGTGCTGGCCAGTCACCGGGCCTGGGGCAGCCGCAGCCTCTGCCACCGCTGCCACCTTGTTCTTTTTTGAGGGAAAGTGGAATGTTTGTTTTCTTTTCCCTCTCTCCCTCCCTCCCTCCCTCTCTCCCTCCCTTTCTCTCTCTCTGTTTTAATTTTGGGCCACACCCGGTGGTGCTCAGGACTTACTCCTTACTCCCGTTCCTGTGTTCGGGGATCACTCCTGGTGCACTCAGGGGACCCTCCCCGGCCGTCCTATCTCTCCCGGCCCAGAAAGTGGACAAATTCTTTTTTCCCCCCATCCATGATCTCAAAAGATGGGTGGAAGTTGGGAAGTGTGGTTTGAGTTAGTGGGAAGGACTAACCCAAGACCAGCGTCTTGGTTAGGCTGTGCCGGTAGCTCTGAAGCTCAGAGCCCCCCGCTTCCCCCCCAAAAGCGCATTATCAGAGAAGAGAGACGCTCGCTGTGGTTACTGCTTCCTCTGACAGGCCCGCGGGCAGCGTAGACCGTTCTAGACTGGGTGACGCGCCGTGGCTTTCCGCCACCAGGCCACAGGGGATTGAAACCACTCTTCTAAATAAACATTTTCTTTTTCTTTTCTTTTCTTTCTTTTTCTTTCTTTTTGGGTCCCACCCGGCGATGCTCAGGGGTTCCTCCTGGCTCTGCACTCAGGAATCACTCCTGGCGGTGCTTGGGCGACCTATGGGATGCTGGAGATTGAACCTGGGCTGGCCTCCTGCAAGGCAAACACCCTTTCCGCTATACTATCGCTCCAGCCCCTAAGTCAGCGTTTTCAATGGCATTGGCCGCTCGCTGCCCAGTCAGAGTGTGCTCTGGTGCTTACCGGTGTTTGCACACACTTGCAAATAGATTCTCTGCTGGGAATTCACCTTGCTAGGCGGCTCATAATTCCGCCTCTGTATTATGTTGACTCCAGCCCGGTGGCTCCGGGCTGGAGAGTGGCGGCCTTGTACTCCCCAGTGGATGGTTTTTATTTGATTTGTTTGGTTTGGTTTTGTTGCATCACACCCAGAGATGCTCAGGGCTCACTCCTGGCTCTGCGCTCAGGGATCACTCCTGGCGGGGCTCAGGGGACCCTATGTGATGTTGGTAATCAAACCCAGGGCTGCCACATGCAAGGACAGCTCCCTGCCTGCTGTCCTGTGACTCGCCCTCTGACATGTGATTGTGAGTTTAGTGACTGAATATTACTGACATGGTGGTCCTTCATGCTCTTAGAACTGTTGCATTTTTTTCCAAGGTTTCTTTCCTCATTGACTGATTCGTAGGATTTTTCTATCACTGGTTCTGTTCATTGGTATAGTAATGTAACAATTTTTTTTTAATTTTTAAATTTTTATTAGTGAAACACCATGAGGTACAGTTGTAGACTTACAAATTTTTGTGCTTGGGTTTTCGTTGTACAATGATCGAGTACCCATCCCTCCACCAGTGCCCATTCTCCACCACCACGGATCCCAGTATCCCTCCCACCCCCCCCATAGTAATATAACAATTTAATTTGCTGAGCCAACATTCAATTTCTGGGCAAAATTCTCTGTAAGTATGCTAAATGAATTTTTTTTTTGTAGTTCTGTCTTTTATGTTAGTGGAAATTTTGTTATCTCTGCTCTTCTAGGATGCTAGCCTAGAGCTTTCTTGTAGTGTTTTTTTTGTTGTTGTTGTTCGTTTTGGCCAGTTTTAGTATTTGGATCATGGTGACCTCAGATAAGTTTGATTTTTTTTTTCTTTTTCCCCAGAATTGAAATAACCTTTAAGTGTTGAACAGAGTCTATGAAGTCAAGTAAGATGGGAGTTGTCCTGGCACGAAAGTTTTGTTTGCCCTTTGCCTTTTTATTTGAGATCATTGTGGATGCATGTGAGGGTGACGGGAAATGACGCAAGCAAGCCCGTGGACCCTTCGGCCAGCTGCCCCATGTCCCGTCTCGAGCGAACATACCAGGATAGGGCCCTCAGTGCACTTGGGCTTGTCTTTACTCCTGAGGCTTTAACAGAATAGGGGGGAGGGCGCTGGCCTTGCCTGTGGCCGTCCCAGGGTTGATCCCCGACATCCCATCATGTCCCCTAGTGCCACCGGGGCTAACTCTGATGCAGAGTAGTTCCAGAGCACAGAGTCACGAGCCAGGGCTGAGCACCGCTGGTGCGGCCCAAACCAGAACAAGCGAACGCCCCAGACCAGTCCCCGGTGCTCATTGCGTGAGGCTGGCCATGGTCAGTGGCCAGCGGTCTGTCCTGTGTCTTCTATGACGTCGCGTCAGGAGTGCTGGGGAACCCGATCCCCGCGCAGCGAGAGAAGTCACAGCACGTTGGAGATGGGATTTTTGCACAGGGCCAGGATTTCCGTCACATTGAACTGGGTTCTGCTTCTCAATGCCTCATTCCTTTGTGTTACTGAGATTTCACGACGGGGTTGTGTCACCCATCGGCCACGTTGCACTGCACGCGGTTTTGATGTCTAGGTGGAGACTGCTGTGAGCACGGAGGGTGGAGCTCCGTGTGGCAGGTGTCCACTGAGCTTTATTTCCAGCCAACTCGGGGGCCGGGGCGTGGAAGGGGCAGAGTATATGCCCGAGGGGAGGCCCTTGCGTCGCAGCCTCGGCCGCTACCGGTGTCAGGTGCCGAGCACGCTGGTGTCAGTTCCCTTAGAGCGAAGGTTCTGCGTGGCCCCGTTCCATCCAGCTCCTGCCTGCCGTGTGGCGAGGCTTTCAGATCTAGGCCTGACGTCTCTCCTTCCAGACCTGTCCTTGGCCTGGCTGGCAAGCGACAGGCAAGCGGGTAATCGAGAACAGGACTAAATTCCAGAGCGGTGAGCGGTGGCGCTCGTGCTGTCACTGCATTCTTGGCTGAAGACGCAGTGCTGGAGAGGCAAGCGACCCTGTCTCTCCACGGCTTCAGCAGGGGTGTTGTTCCTGCTTTGGGGGGCTTCTGCGGTAGGTACTCGGGCGAGTAGTGGGGTGCCTCTTCACGGCCCTGTGGCCTGCCAGTGGGGAATAAGGGGTCAGAGAAAGGGAAGTGTGAAAAGGCGACTGACAGCCAGGCCGCCCAAGTAGATCTGGCCAGCGTGACCGGTGTGTGACTGCCGGGACCCCGTGGGAAGCTGAGACTCCTAGTTTGCTCCGGAATAGTCCCCCCTCCCCTGGAATGGGGACTGCCTTCTGTGGCTTCATTTTCCAACGGGGCACTGTGGCATCTTTTTCTGAAGAAGTTGCAGTAGGCCAAGTCTGTTTGGGAACCTCTGTCCTAGAAATCGGTTCTTCGGGGTGTGTGGATGGGAAGGCGTTTGGAGTTCGAGTCTGCCGTGAGAGAGACCACCTTGAGGCGTGGAAGTAACTGCTGGTCTCAGAGCGAGCCTTCGGGTTCGAATTTCCCAGCCCTAGTCTGTCTGCCCCCGCCTCCGAAGTCCAGTTGCAGTTCCTCCGGGGAGAAATGGCTGGACGGGGTGGCAGATGGGAAAGTTCTCTCTCTCTCCCCCTCTCTCTCCCTCTCTTTCTTTCTCTCCCTCTCTTTCTCCCTCTCCCTCTCTCTTCCCCTCCCTCCTTCTCTCCCTCTCTTTCTCTCTCCCTCTCCCCTCTCCCCGTCTCTCTCCAGCACCCATCCCGCCTCCACCAGTGCCCCCAGTTTCCCTCCCACCCCCAAAGCCTGACTTCTTAGCAGACACATAAAAAATTTACGTCATATTGCCTGCCACAACAAAATGGCAAATGGGATTACCAGAAACGGGATCAGTGAAAGTCCATTTGTGGGGATCGATGGTCCCACCTCACCGGGCGGCCCTGAAGCCGGCCCTGAAGCCATCGTCGGAGGGTTTTCTCGCTGGCTGGTGTGGCTGGTTGGCCTGGTGGGCTTCTCTGCAACTTTCCCGGCAGACTTGCAGTGCTCCTACTGGGCTGGAAGGACCGAAATTCGGAGGCGGTGGGGCATGGCCACAGGTGCCCCAGGAGCAGCTGGACAGGAGGGTGGGGGTGGCTGCTGGGCCCGAAGGAAGCGGAAGTGGGGGGGTGGGGGAGGAATCTGCCTGCCCCACCTTGGGAAGGGCCTCAGGGTTTCAGCCCAACACCCTCTGCCTGGGGCAGTGTGGCTTGGAGGCTTATTTGGAAATGTTCTCTCTCTCTCTCTCTCTCTCTCTCTCTCTCTTTCTTTCCTCTCTCTTTCCCTTTCTTTCCTTCATTCCCTCTTTCTTTCTCTTTCTTTCCCTTTTCTTCCCTCCCTCTCTCTTTCCTTCCCTCTCTCTTTCTTTCTTTCTCTCTCTTTTTTTTTTTTTTTTTGCTTTTTTTGGGTCATACCCAGCAATGCTCAGGAGTTACTCCTGGCTTTGCACTCAGGAATTACTCCTGGCAGTGCTTGGGGGACCACATGGGATGCCCGGGATCGAACCTGGGTCGGCCGCGTGCAAGGCAAACGCCCTCCCCGCTGTACTATCACTCCAGTCCCTCTTTCTTTCTTTCTTTCTTTCCTTCCCTCCCTCTCTCTTTCTTTCTGCTTTTTTTGGTCACACCTGGCAATGTTCAGGGGTTCTCCCTGGCTCTGCACTCAGGAATTACTCCTGGCAGTGCTCAGGGGACTCTATGGGATGCCGGGGATTAAACCTGGGTCAGCCGCATGCAAGGCAAATGCCCTACCCACTACACTATCTCTCCAGCCCCTTTCTTTCTTTCTTCCTTTCTTTCTTTCTTTCTTCCTTTCTTTCTTTCTTTCTTCCTTTCTTTCTTCCTTCCTTCCTTCCTTTCTTTCTTAGCATCCTAATGAACTTAATTGGTGACATGTGACTGATTTCAATCATTTATTGACTCTTCCAGGGTTGTTTTCTTTCTTCTGGGGGGCTGGGGCGGGGCAGTGCACACTGGGCCCTGCTCAGGGGTTACTCCCAGCTCTGCACTCAGGAATTGCTCAGGACGACCAGATGGGATGCTGGGAATAGAACTGGGGTTGGCCAGGTGCCAGGCAGTGCCCTCCCCTCTGTACTAGCTCTTCTGCCCTGATTAAGTAGGATTGCTAAACCTGTTGTTACTACTGGTGTGGAAATTTTAAAAAATAAATTAATTGGGAAAAAACTATGCTACAACAGTTTTGACATTTTTTCAAAATTAGAAATCAGATTTGAAAAGTCAGTTACATAAAGTATAACCTAATTAGTCCTTGAAAATATTGAATTTCTGCAGACTATTTTATTATTCTAATAAGTTTAAGATCCTCAGAACATTCCCCCATGCAGGAAAACAAAATGTTTTGTTTTGTTTTTTTAATCCATGTGTTCATCCTTTACCGAACCACCTTCCAGTTATACACAAGGAGAAAGAAAACAATTTGGCCACGGGAAAAACGTGGACTTTCCGCTGAATGGCACAGAGACACAATAGAGAAATCTGTCTTCGGGAGTGGGCGCTCAGTACAGATTTTATTTTCTCTGCAATCCGGAGCCTGGTTCCTGAGCTAATTATTGGTCTTTGTCATACATTCAGCTTCTTTTCACTGCCATTTCTGAATAAGTAGGAATCCTTTGGGCCGGTCTTCGGGAAAGATGATTCATTCCTTGAAGGGAAACTTGTTTCTCTGGTTCAGAGCAGGGACTGGCCCTATTGTTGGGTGGACTTTTAGGCCTGCTTTTACTTTCTTTTCATCACTGGGAATCGAACTTAAGAAATTGGAACATTTCTGGGGCCAAGGATTTGGCTCAGTGGTTAGAGCATGGGGGGCCTGAGGTGTGCTTACGTGGGCATCTTTCTCACACTGTTGGCCCCCTGCTTAACTCACCAACCGACCCCTCCCTTTGTTTCCTTGTTTCCTGTGCCACTTTCGCTGCCGGACACATGTCTTGGCCACCCACATCGGCCAGGGGGACCCTTGGCTGTTGTGTCCCACTGGCCGACCGTGTGGCCCTAATGAAGCCATCAGGAACAAGGTGCATGGGTGAATGATGCCGAACAGGAGGCCTGGAGGGGGTCAGGGAGCACCCGGCGCCCACTTACAAAGGAGGGTCTCAGGCCGGCCCCGGGGGGGTTGGTGTCAGGGCTCCTCGCTCTCCGCCAGGCGTTTATGTGACTCTTGTCTTTCTTTCGAACAGGAAGAAGAGAATTTATCCAAAGATTGAAACTTGAAGCGACCCTGAATGTGCATGACGGCTGTGTGAGTCCCATCACGCCTCCCCTTCCTCCTTCGGGGCGTCCGATGTGCGGGGACCCGGCCCTCGGCCGTGTGCTTGGAGGAAGGCCCCGGGTCCCCGTGTGTTGGTGGCACGCGCCGGCAGGACGCGTCTCTCCGGAGATGGGGTCTCCTCTGGCTGCTGGACTCTGTCCTGTCTCTCTTTCCCTCTCGGTCATGGGCTGCGTCTTTTTTTATTCTCTCTTTGGGTCCCACCCGGCGATGCTCAGGGGTTCCTCCTGGCTCTGCACTCAGGACTTACTCCTGGCGGTGCTGTGGGACCCTATGGGATGCTGGGAATCGAACCCGGGTCAGCCATGTGCAAGGCAAATGCCCTCTCCGCTGTGCTATCGCTCCAGCCCCAGGGCTGCATCTTTTTTTGGGGGGAAAGGGACACGCACACTTGGGACCACATGGGGTGCCGGGGATTGAACCCAGGTCAGCTGTGGGCAAGGCGACGCCCTCCCCTCTGTCTGTCGTTCTGGACCTGCCTGGTTCCTTCTTGCCCATGCACTTGCTCACTTCCCTGCTGCCCTAGAGTGTGGCTGGGGACATTCCGACATCCCCCCCTCCACGTTCTCTGACCAGACCCTTGGTTCCCCCTCGCCCCCTCGCCCAGAGTCCCCCAGGCTCGCAGCCCCCTCTGCTGAATCACCCCCAGGCCTCTCTGAGGGCCACCCAGGTTTTCAGAGCCCAGATGGGGTCCTTTGCTTCCCAGCTGTTATTTATTTATTTATTCCCCCCCCCCCCCCTTTTTGGGTCACACTGGGTGATGCTCAGGGCTGACTCCTGGCTCTGCATTCAGGAATCACTCCTGGCGGTGCTCGGGAGACCCTGTGGGAACTGGGAATCGAACCTGGGTCGGCCACGTGCAAGGCAAACACCCTCCCCGCTGGGCTATTGCTCCAGCCGCAACCAGCTTTCTTTTTTTAAAAAAAATTTTGTTTATTTTTTGCTTTTTGAGTCACACCCGGCGATGCACAGGGGTTATTGCTGACTCGTGCACTCAGGAATCACTCCTGGCAGTGCTCGGGGGACCCTATGGATTGCTGGGAATCGAACCCAGGTCGGACACGGGCAAGGCCAATGCCCTCCCCACTGTGCTGTCGCTCCAGCCCTGCCTCCCAGCTTTCATTACAGCATTTCAAAACACGCTTTCCCCAGCTAACACGTGGTCTGGGCTGCGGCCCAGATTCGACACATCCGTGATTTCATCCTCTTCTGTTTTCTCTGTTCATGAATTTTAAAAGCCTATCCCAGATTTGCTATCATTGCCCACTCATGGGGTACTGTTATTTTTTTTCCAGTTGTTTCAACAATTATATTTGACCATGTAATCACATTTGACCGTGAGCCAGTAACTCTGGTTCTTGTTGCTGCTCTGTGGCTGAGAGTGGCACTGTGTTTTTTTAAATGTAGATGTTGTTTTTGTGCCATGCAGTTCACCATAAAGCATGTTATCTAGTAAGTCCATGAAGCCTGGCATCACTGCTCCTGGTTCTGGCATATTTTCTCCTTCCGGAAATGGGCGTCAAGACCAGCTTATCACTCATTCCCATGCCCACTCGGCTGGCTGCTGGCCGTCCCTGAACCGCCCACTGGCCCCTGGAGAGGCCTGCCTGGGCCTCCAGATAAGCCAACCCCAGGCTGTGCAACTTTCCACCCTGGCTTTGACTTGGTGTCATGTTTTCAAGGTTCCTGAATGGACTTGTTTGCGGCACGTAGCAGTTTTAGTTTATGGCTGTGTAGTACTTCAGATAACTTGCGTTGAGCACTTGAGCAGCCCTTGTGCATCCGTCCGTTCCTCAGATGGTCCTGGAGTTGGGGTTCTTTTTTTTTTGCTTTGCTTTTTGGGTCACACCCAGTGATGCACAGGGGTTCCTCCTGGCTCATGCATTCAGGAATTACCCCTGGAGGTGCTCAGGGGACCCTATGGGATGCTGGGAATCGAACCTGGGTCGGCTGCGTGCAAGAAAACGCCCTCACCGCTGTGCTGTCGCTCCAGCCCTGGGGTTGGGGTTCTCGTATTTGGGGCGGTTCTGAGCCATGAGCATTCTGTCCTCTTGTTTCCAGGTCAGGGGGACAAGTTTCCCCTTGTTCTGGATTTGCACTTGATTGCGAAATTGTTGGGGTTGTCGGTTGCTGTTAATTTTTCAAGTACTGACAGTTGCACAATTTCCTGACACCCTCACCGCCATACTCTTGTTTCTTCTTCTTACTGTTACGGTCACCCTAATGGATGTGACGTGGTAATTCATCGTGAGTTTGTTTTCCTGATATACACCTGTTTTTCCACCTCAGACACAATTTTGGTTCTCTTGTGTAGAATATTTTGAAAAGCATTTGAAATGTTTACATCCATGCTGTGAAGTCGGGGTTCCGGTGCCTTCTTTTGCTTGTGTGTATATCCAGATGTCTCAGCAGCATCTATTGAGATGGCTCTTCTTGGGCCATTAAATGATTTTGGATGCCTTGTTAGATCTAATTTCCAAATCGGTTCTGTTCCATTAATATATTTGTCTGTCTGTGGTCATATCTCATAGTCTTGATTACTATAACTCTGAGTAACTTTGTCTAATTCCTTTTTATGTCTTGATAGAAAATAAGTTAAAAATTGATTAGCCGATTACAAAACTTAAAGATTTAGACATTTTATTCTGAGTTTTTAAAGCACTGTGTTTGCTAAAGATTCAGACATTTTATTCTGAGTTTTTTAAAGCACCGTGTTTGCTAAATGAAGTCTTCTCAATGAGGACATCAGTGTATTCTGTTTTCCACAAGCATTCCCTTGTTTAGTGTTGAGAAGTTTGAACTGTCAGTTAAATGAAAGATGGCAGGCCGCTCCTTCTGTCCAGTTCACTTAATTTCTTCTCCAATTTCTTTGTAGGTTAATACAATCTGTTGGAATGAGACCGGAGAATATATCCTATCTGGCTCAGACGATACCAAGTTAGTCATCAGTAACCCTTATAGCAGAAAGGTAAAGTGGTTTATAAAGCTTGTCATGTGATGGAAGAATGCTGTGCTTGAGCCAGGGGCGAGTGGGAGAGTTGGGTGAGCACGGGTCGAGGAGCACGGGTCTGTGGTCACCAATGGAAAACGTCGGAAAATCACAGGCCGGCAAATAGGATGGCGGGGGGGCGGGGGGCACAATACATCATCGTCTGGGTTTCACCCCTCCCCAGGTCATTTGGAGTGAGGTGATGACGTTTCACGTGATGAGGGTGGGGATGAGGGTGGGGGGGTGAACCCGAACAGACGCGTCTCCCTAGGAAGAGGCCGTTACCGAGACCGACTTCTCTGTTCTAGGTCTTGACAACGATTCGCTCAGGGCACCGGGCAAACATCTTTAGCGCCAAGTTCTTACCGTGCACGAATGATAAGCAGATTGTCTCGTGCTCTGGGGATGGAGTCATATTTTATACCAACGTCGAGCAAGACGCGGAAACCAACCGACAGTGCCAGTTCACGTGCCATTATGGGACTACCTATGAGGTAGCGTGTGGTCGGGATTATATATATATATATATATTATATATATATATAAAATATATATATATACACACATCATCCATGTGTGTCTTGTGTGTGTATGTATGTGTAGATATGTAGATGTCTGTACCTGTGAATGTGTCCGCAGATGTGTGTACATTCATGCAGTTATAGGAAAAACCATTGACACGCAGCTGGCTGGGGTTCGATTCGCGGCATCCCATAGGGTCCCCCGAGCCCAGCAAGAGTGATTCCTGGCCAGGAGTCAGCCCTGAGCCCCCAAACAAACACAATATCGAGAAACTCTATTTTGATAAATTTGTGGATAACATTGGAAATTATGTCAGTGTTCATGTCAGGAATATAAGTTATGTCAGGAATGCAAGTCTGCAGTTTTATTTGCTTTTTGTGGTGTTTTCTCTTTTTTTGTAGTGTTTTATTTGTTTTTGTTTTTGTTTTTTTTTGGGGGGGGGGTCCACACCCAGCAGTGCTCAAGGTTTACTCCTGGCTTTGTGCTCAGGGGCCATTCCTGGTGGGGCTCAGGAGACCCTGCGTGGTGCTGAGGGTTGAACCCTCTCAGCCACAGCCAGGCTAGAGCCCTGCCTCATGTTCTGCTGCTCTTCTGCCTAGCAGTGGAGTTTTCATCACGATCACGATCATCCTGTTGTTCGTCGATTGCCTCGAGCAGGCCCCAGTAACGTCTCCTTCGCCCTAGCCCTGAGATTTTTTAAAAAGTGCCATATTCAAGGCTCTTTCAGGATTAGGAGAATGAGACCCATCCTTGTTACTGGTATTTGGCATATTGCGTGTGCCACGGGGAGTTTGCCAGACTCTGCCGTGTGAGCAGGTTACATTCGGTAGCCTGCCAGGTTGTCCAAAGCAAGAATGAGATAATAAGATGTCTGGGAGCTGCGTTTTGCAGTCTCTAGGTCTTGGCCATTGATGGGATTACACGGCGCTGGGGGGCAGTTGGTGGGTGTGACCCCTGCCTACTGGAAGATGGAGGATCTGGGTGGAGGATGCTCAGCCCCGATCCAAGCAGGCTTGGAGATCTCAGCCCCGGGACCCTCATGCCTTTGTTCCTCTGCCGGTACCTTCATGCGTGTGGAGAGTGGTCTCAGCATGGCTGTGGTTTTCAGCTGCCAGAGCTCTGCACGGGGCGGGGAGGGAAACTCAACCTGCCCCAATCCAAGGGGCCCTGGTGAGGACAGCCAGACGTGTTATTGAAGCTATGGTTATATATTATATTATATTATAGCTATATATTATAGCTATATACATAGGAGTTTTCATATGCTGCAGAATTTCCATCTTTTCCCCTGTATTATTTCCCTGGCTCCCAGAGTTGTCTGTTCCAACTAATTTTGCCCACTCTTTCGTTTTGGCTTTTAGATCATGACTGTACCCAATGACCCGTACACTTTTCTCTCCTGTGGTGAAGACGGGACTGTTAGGTGGTTTGACACGCGCATCAAAACCAGCTGCACGAAGGAAGACTGCAAAGATGTAAGAGCGGGATTTTGTACAAATAGTGCCCCAAGTTAAGATTCTAAATAAACTGGAACCATAAGTTATCTCTGTGTTACGAGATCATGAATGAAATTTAAAATATTCATCTTGCAAAGACCATTCGTATATCTAGTCAGTCTAAAAAATTAAAACCTGGGACCAGAGCGATAGCACAGCAGGTAGGGCGTTTGCCTTGCATGCAGCCGACCTGGGTTCAATCCCCGGCATCCCATAGGGTCCCCCGAGCACCGCCAGGAGTGATTCCTCAGTGTAGAGTAACCCCGAACATCACTGGGTGTCATCCCAAAAAGCAAAAAAAAAAAAACCAAAAGCAGAAAACCGCGTAGGGAAGTCAGAGAACTTATATTTTAATTCTACATGTCAAACATGTTAAATCTGTGTACTTTTTCAATAGGGCTGGAGCGATAGCACAGCGGGTAGGGTGTTTGCCTTGCACTCAGCTGACCCGGGTTCGATTCCTCCGTCCCTCTCTGAGAGCCTGTCAAGCTACCGAGAGTATCTTGCCCGCACGGCAAAGCCTGGCAAGCTACCCGTGATGTAGTCGATATGCCAAACACAGTAACAACAAAGTCTCCAATGGAGACGTTACTGGGCCCACACGAGTAAATCGATGAACAATGGGAGGACAGTGCTACAGTGCTACTTTTTTCAATATGTATTCCCGCTTTGGACAACCTGGGTAGGGGCTGGAGCAATAGTAGAGTGGGGAGGGAGGGTGCTTGCCGTGCACATGGCCGACCCGGGTTCAATCCCCCGAGCCAGGAGTGATCCCTGAGCACAGCTGGGTGTCACTCCCTCTGGAACTCCCCCAAAAGAGAAAAACCTGAAGAGTTGGTTAGTATATTCCAGGGCTCTCATAGATCAAAAAGAATAGAAGCAAAATATAAAATACCAGTAACTAAAGTAATTGTTAACTAGTCAACTAGTAACTGTTGACTCGTGAGAGTAATTATTAACTAGTTCACCATCATTAACTGGTTAGCTTTATTGAAAGGCATTTGGTGGGAGGGATTTTACGAGTAACATTGTGAGGTTCTTGATTCATTTTTTTTTCTTTTTGGGTCACACCTGGTGATGCACAGGGGACACTCCTGGCTCTGCACTCAGGATTTACTCCTGGCGGTGCTTGGGGGACTCTACGGGATGCTGGGAATCGAACCCGGGTCGGCTGTATGCCAGGCCAGTGCCCTCCCCGCTGTGCTATCACTCCAGCCCCCATAATTAAATATATTTTAAGGTAAATTAAGACCTGAAACACCGAAGAGTACCAAGAGAGCTAGAATCATAGGCAAAATAGAAATAATAGGATCCCCGAAGGATGCTTCTCCGGTGAGAGGGTTTATAAATGCGGAGCTTGTTTTTGAACTGGGAAGGAAGAAGACATATCAAGCTAAGAAAAGTGTAAGAATTCTAAATCGGCTCGTTCTATTACATGTTTTATTACACATGATATAAATTTTAGTCTGGTTATGCCAGACACAGTAACAACAAAGTCTCCAATGGAGATGTTACTGGGCCCGCTCGAGCAAATCGACGATCAACGGGAGGGCCTTTACTTTACTTACTTACTATATTTTAAGAGCAACAATCATAATTAAATGTCGTGAATACTGAGTGTGTGAAATAATGGCCAATGTTTGCCACGGAAGTATATTATGTCTCCATCCTTATTATTCAGTGACCCAAGAAGTCTTAAAATATCTAAAGAAAGATGTTCATTTTTTGGTTTGAAAATAGGAAAGCATTTCGGGGCAATAATTGAAGTTGTAGGGGCTGAAGGATAGCACAGTGGGTAGGGGCTTGCCTTTCACGCCGTGGACCCGGGTTCAATTCCCAGCATCCCATATGGTACCCCCAGCGCTGCTAGGAGTAATTCCTGAGTCCAGAGCCAGGAATAACCCATGAGCATTGCTGGATGTGACCCAAAAAGCCAAAAAAAAATTAAAAAACCGAAGTTGTATGATATGGAATGTAGTCTTGAAATTGTACTTAAACCATGAAATGATGCATTTCTTCATTGCAGCTTTTAATAGCTGATATTTATAGAGCCGATTACTCAGTGTTTCCATCTTAAATCAGAGTAACTTTTTAAGAATGGTTTTTAATTTTTTCTTCTTAATGCTTTTGGCACTATTCACATGCATTATTAATTGCTTTTTGATTCTCTGCTTTCATTGGCTTTTTACAATTTTTGAGTGATTTATTAACAAGCCAATATTGGGTTAGAAGTTAATATTTTTCTTTTGGGGAGGTCACACCCAGTGATGCTCTGGGGTTACTCCTGGCAGTGCTCGGGGGACCTTATGGGATGCTGGGAATCGAACCCGGGTCGGCTGCGTACAAGGCAAACACCCTGCCTGCTGTACTATCGATGCTGCAGCCCCTAGAAGTTAATTTTTGAGGTGTGAGGCCAGTTGTGCAGAACAGCAGAATTTTCCTTAGAGGCGACCGCGAGGAGGCGTGTTGCCCGCATTTGTGGGGTTTTCCCCCCCGCGCTTGGTCCAGACACTCAGGGGCCTGTGAGCTCGTGTTCGCCTGTCTCATCACACACTGTACTGCAGCTTCCGGGAGAGGTGCCTGTCTTCAGACCGGATGCTTGAAACACAACCTCATCTCTGCTGTCACGCTCCACCTAATGGGTGACGTGTTCTGTCTCGTAGGACATTTTGATTAACTGCCGACGCGCTGCCACCTCCGTGGCCATCTGCCCGCCGATCCCCTACTACCTTGCCGTGGGGTGTTCCGACAGCTCAGTGCGCATCTACGACCGCCGGATGCTGGGCACCAGAGCCACCGGTAAACATGTCTCCGAGGGAACGCAGGGGCCCGGGCCAGGGAGTCGAGCTTCGGGTCGTATCTGTGCTCTTACAGTATCGAGGCCCAAGTTTCCCGCCCGTAGAATGTCTTTAAGTGATGTGCCTGAATGAGCGTTTCTCCACGGGTTTCTGACTGTAACAGGCAGATACTTGTGCAGTGTACCTGATCCCTTCAAAACGTAACACTTGATGTATTCGTTTCCTAGAGCTGACATAACAAATTGCCACCAACGGGGTGGCCTAAACAACAGACATTTATTCTCTCACAGTTCTGGAGGCCACACGTTTGAAGTCAAGGTATTGGCAGGGTTGGTTTCCGCTGGAGGCTCGCAGGGAGACCGTTGCATGCTCCGCCCCCAGCTTCTGGTGGTTGCTGGCGACCCCTGGCATCCCCCGGCTTGTAAATGCACCACTCCATCCTCCGCTTCCATCGTTCCATGCCATCCTCCCCGTGTGTGTCTGTCCACGTGTCCCTCCTCTTGTAAAGACCCGGCCGTACTGGATGCAGGCGCCCTAATCCAGTATGACCCCAGTGTACTACTGACCCTGTCTCCAGACGCCGCAGAGGGTCACATTCTGGAGTTCCGGCCAGCGTGACTTTGGTGGTGGCTAGGGGGCGGGATGGACACACCAGTTAGCCCCGGCCAGACGTCCTGAGCCTCTCTTGGCCATTTTCAGCCACGAGGATAACAGTGAGTGAGGCGGAGAGATAGGAAAGGGGCCGGCTAGGGGGTGTGTGTCACGGGCGCCTCCTGGGCCCAAGTGCTGCTCCCGCTGTGGCAGTGCTGAGTTTAAAGCCACTGAGACTTCCTCCTCGCTCCTCGGGGGGTCAGGTCACTTGCGAGATCACTGATCTGAAGCTCAGTCACACTAGCGTTTTCTGATCTAAAGCAGCTAGGAATCACACAAACACAAAAGGTGATGCGTGCGTATGTACACAAACACCCACGCATTTACATTTTTATATAGTCACGTATTTTGTATTGATGCAAATAAAGGTGGATGTGGCCGGAAGCTTACAATATTTAGTAAAAATGGATGTAGGTTCTTGAAGTGGGAGACCAGTTTGGGATTTTTTTGCTGGACTATGGTTGAGGACTTTCTCTCTTTAGACACGAATATTTAAGGCACACAGTCGTAATATAATCACACGAAATTCCAGGCTTTATTGTTTTTCCTCAACAGAGGGTCCTGGTAACAGCGTGGGCAGGGTATCACCTCACCGTGCACAGTTAGCTTCTTCGGATTCACTCCTAGGATCCAGACACAGTTCCAGCACTCCTAGGACCCAGACACAGTTCCAGCACTCCTAGGACCCCGACACAGTTCCAGCACTCCTAGGATCCAGGGCACAGAGTTCCAGCTGCCAGTATATTCTGTTGACATTCAACTTAGTTAATTAGCTGTGCGATCGTCCCCCCACTTGGAGGAAAGTGTCCTGACAATCCAAAAAATGTTAAGACAGAAAGTGAAGCAAGAATGATTTTTAAAGGGATATTACCTTGTTTTATCTATCATCATAACAAGTATCAGTTTCTTATCTCTATCATTAAATTATCTTAGCGTGTGGGGAATTTTTCAAAGGTGGTTTGGTATGACTGTGATCACAAATCATTTAAGCGGATTAAGTCACTCATTTCCCAATAAATCATGTATGTAATTTACAGTTCCAGGCAACCATGAATTTCTTTTGAAGCCATGTGGGCTTGTATGCTGTGTTCTTTTATTTTGTTATAAAATCTGTTGAAAAAAAAAGGAGCCTCATCTAGAAATAGAATATGGTGATAGCTTGCATTTAAATGGCTACATGAAATCACATATTTCATAATTCAGACCAGAGTTTTAAGATACTGTTTTTGTCAGAGCCCCCAGACGTAAGGACTTCCTGTTTCCTTCTCAGGGAATTACGCGGGCCGGGGCACCACGGGCATGGTGGCTCGCTTCATCCCTTCCCACCTGAGCACCAAGTCCTGCAGGGTCACGTCTCTGTGCTACAGCGAGGACGGCCGGGAGATCCTGGTCAGCTACTCCTCAGACTACATCTACCTGTTCGACCCGAAGGATGACACGGCCAGAGAGCTCAAGGCGCCCTCGGCGGAGGAGAGGAGAGAAGAGGTGAGTGGGCGCGGGGGGCCTTGAGGGAGTTCGGGGCTCACGGCCCTTGCCCTGCACTTGGCCGACCCCATGTCAAACCCCGGCACTGCTTACGTTCCCTGAGAACTGCCAGGAAGGGCCCCTGAGCACAGAGCCTGGAGTTCCCTCTCACATGACCAGGTGTGACCTCGAAGCTCAAGAAACGTTTAAAATGTCTGAAGGTGGCCAATTGAAAAAAGCAAGGAACCTGAAGGACTTCAAAAGAATACTGTTATTGGGGCTGGAGCAACAGCACAGCGGGTAGGGCGTTTGCCTTGCACACGTCCGACCCGGGTTCGATTCCCAGCATTCCATAGGGTCCCCCAAGCACCACCAGGAATAATTCCTGAGTGCAGAGCCAGGAGTAACCCCTGAGCGTTGCTGGGTATGATCCAAAAAGCAAAAAAAAAAAAAGAATACTGTTACTCTGCAAGGACGTACAGAAATCTCGAATGAAAGATTGGGCATTACTTCTTCTTCTTCTTCTTCTTCTTCTTATTATTATTTATTATTATTATCTTTGGGTCCAATCCAACGATGCACAGGGGTTCCTCCTGGCTCTTCACTCAGGAATCACTCCTGGCAGTGCGCAGGGGACCCTATGGGACACTGAGAACCGAATCCTCGTCGGCCACGTGCTAGGCCAACGCCCTCCCCGATGTACTATTACTCCAGCCCCTGGGCACTGCTTATTGACCAAGAATGAGACTGCAGGAGAAGCGTGTTATGAAAAGATTAGAGAGGAACTACCAGTAGTCAAATATTTCTGTGACTGTCACTGTCACTGTCCTCCCGTTGTTCGTCGATTTGCTCGAGCGGGCCCAGTAACATTGTGAGACTTAAATTGTTACTGTGTTTGGCATATCGAATCCGTCACGGGGAGCTTGCCAGGCTTTGCTGTGGGGGCGAGATACTCTCGGTAGCTTGCCGGGCTCCCCGAGACGGGTGGAGGAATCTAACTCGGCCGGGTCAGCCGCCTGCAAGGCAAACGCCTCACCGGCTGTGCTATTGCTTCAGTCCCTGGGCACTGCAAGAATGAGACTGCAGGACAAGCGTGTTATGAAAAGATTAAAAGAGGAACCAGTAGTCAAATATTCCTGCTGTAGGTTAATAGCAACAGTAAGATAGGGCTAACCGTTTCAACGTTGCACAAAAGGCAACTGGAATCATTACCGGTGGCCTTTTAATAAGTAGCAGAGTAAATGGGACACTTCCGTGGACTCGGGGCTCGTGTTTTTACAGCCTTCGAGCCTATCTTGGGAGCGTTATTCACGGTGAACTGCGAACCCCTCATCTCCCCTGTCTGCCTCTTTCATCTGAAGGCGCCAGTGACATTTTACAAGAACACATGTTCATGAGAAATCGGTCAAGGACACACAGGCTCGGGGCTTGGGAGAGGCGGGACTGCTACGTGCCTCCACAGAGGCCTCGAAAAAAGGGGTCCCACAGGCAAGGCCCCTCTGGTACGGGCCATCACCCTTGTATAGCAGATACGTTCTGGACTGACAATCAGGGAGGTGAATTACTGCCACTTAATACCGCTAAAACAGGGACTGGAGCGACAGCACAGCGGGAAGGGCGTTGGCCTGGCACGCAGCTGACCCGGGTTCGATCCCCAGCATCCCATAGGGTCCCCTGAGCACCGCCAGGAGTGAGTCCTGAGAGCAGAGCCAGGAGTAACCCCTGTGCATCGCCGGGTGTGACCCCCCCCCAAAAAAAAGAAGAAAAAACCTTTAAAACACTTTTTATTTATAAAAGGGACAACTCAGAACTTTATCTTTGCTAACACCAGCAGCTGGGCAGGGAAGTGTTGGCTTGAAGCGTTTAATGTGTCTGCAGTGTGTTTTCCCTCCTTCCTGCACTCTGGGGCTTGTATCTGCCTTCTGTTTTTTTTGGGGGGGGGGGCGGGGGGTCATACCCAGTGATGCTCAGGGGTCCCTCCCGGCTCTGCACTCAGGAATCACTCCTGGCGGTGCTTGGGGGACCCTATGGGAGGCTGGGAATCGAACCCGGGTCGGCCACGTGCAAGGCCAACGCCCTCCCCACTGTGCTATCGCTCTGGCCCCTGTACCGCCTTCTGAAGTGAACCGGTGCCTTTGATTATCAGCATCTTTGAGGGGCCCAACTCCCCACTGTGGGCCAGTGGGGACTGGAATTCTGGTAAGAAGAGTCCAAATTCAGTTGTTTTTTTTTTTTTCTTTTTGGGCCACACCCGGTGATGCCCAGGGGTCCCTCCCAACTCTGCACTCAGGAATTCCTCCTGGCGGTACTGGGCGGAACCTCGGGGATGCTGGGAATCGAACCCGGGTCAGCCGCGTGCAAGGCCAACGCCCTCCCCGCTGTATTATCGCTGCGGCCCCCCCAAATCCAGTTCTCATCGCTGCTCATAAACTGACAGCCGAGATGGAGACATTCAGGGGCGTTTTACCAGACTCACAGGCGCAAGTTTGGGATTTCCCGGTGGCCGGGCATGTTAGTGAGTTGGGAGTTGCCAGGAGGGGGCCGAGCTGGAAGCTCTTCGCGACCACGGAATTGGCTTTGTCTCGTGGAGCTTCTTGCTCTGGTCAGAGGCTTCGTGGCTGTTCCATAATGAGGGGGTGGGCGCGTGCAGACCATCCACTTGGCCGGCCGAAAGTTGCTGACGTGAGCCATGAGTGGGCCGTGTGATCCAACCGCCTTTCCGGAGAGGGTCTGTCCACAGTGGGTCCTGGGCCCTCTGTCTGAGGGGTCAGGCCTGCGAGCAGATGGGAGGAGAGACCGGCAGGCTCTGACCAACATCACCCCAGGCCCTTTGCACAGCCTTGTTTTTTGTTTTTGTTTTTGTTTTTTTTTTGAGTCACAGCTGGTGATGCTCGTGGGTTCCTCCTGGCTCTGCACTCGGGAATCACTCCTGGTGGTACTTGGGGGGACCATGTGGGATGTCAGGGATCGAACCCGGGTCAGCTGCATGCAAGGCCAACGCCCTACCCGCTGTGCTATGGCCCCGGCCCCCTCTACACTTCCCTGCCCTGCAGAGCAAGCCCCCTTCTGTCGCGTCTCCTTTTTGCTCCCCTGGCCTGTCCGCGCTGGGCCACCGTGGGAAGTGGGGCTGTGCCATCGTCCACTTGTCCCCCCAATCGCCCGGGTTTCCCCTATCTTTTTTGTTCTTTTTGGGTCACACCTGGCGATGCTCAGGGGCTCCTCTTGGCTCAGGAATTACTCCTGGCGGTGCTCAGGGGACCATATGGGATGCTGGGAATCGAACCTGGGTCGGCTGCGTGCGGGGCAAACGCCCTCCCCGCTGTGCTATTGCTCCAGCCCCCGGGTTTCCCCTATCTTGAAGGCCAAGCTCGGGCTATTTTTACTTGCAGCCCACGTTCTGGGAATAATTGCTTGGGTTGTGACCCCCTTTTCTGGCCCGGGTGACAGAGCGGGACGCGGTTCAGTCATTCTGGCCCGCTGGATGCATGGGGAGGGGGGAGAACCTCTTTCTAGACAAGGTTCTTGTTCTGGGAGTTTGGGCGGCTGCCACCCTTGCCACTTCCTCTGGCCGCTTCATGGCTGCCAGTCACGGTTTGCTCTTCAGCCTTGGAGAATAGCAATGTGCAGTGTGTGTGTGTGTGGGGGGGGGGGGGGGTAATTTTTTTCTCTGCTAGGGTATTTGCTAAGAATGTAGGTTTGGGTGCTCGAGCGATAGCACAGCAGGTAGGACATATGCCTGGCACGCGGCCGACCCAGGTTCGATTCCCAGCATCCCATAGGGTCCCCCGAGCACTGCCTGGAGTAGTTCCTGAATGCAGAGCCAAGAGTGACCCCTGAGCATCACCGGGTGGAACCCAAAAAGAAAGAAAAAGAAGAAAGAATGCAGGCTTTTGGGTTTTTTTTCTTTGTCTTTTTTCTATTTTTGGGTCCCACCCGGCGATGCTCAGGGGTCACTCTTGGCTCTGCACTCAGGAATCCTGGCGATGCTCGGGGGACCCTGTGGGATGCGGGGGATCGAACCTGGGTCGGCCGCGTGCAAGGCCAACGCCCTCGCTGCTGTGCTCAGGCCTCGCAGGTTTGTTTTCTTACACCCGACCCCATCATCTCGCCCGTCGGCCTGGTTGCCAAGAGCAAATGAAAAAAATGGCAGCTGAGGTGTTCAGTGGTGCTCAGCGCCTGCATTTGGCACTCGGTCCACTTGCTGGTGGTGACGGGGAGTGGGTGAGTTTTGGGAGCGACGGAGCCCAAGGCCGCCCGCGGTGCACTGAGCCGGGAGTCATGGGTTCGGTCTGTTCCTTCAGTGCCAGTGGCTCTGGCGTTGGTTCGGCCTGGAGGTGTTGCCAGGGCATCGTGTCCAGCCCCCAGCGGAGAGCAGGGCCTGGCACACCCCTGGGGGAGGCCACTGTGGGGGTCCGGAGTTTTCCCAGGACAGAAGGCGCGTGAGCAGTACTCTGAGCTAGGTTTCCTTCTTCTTTATATATTTATTTTTTTATTTTATTTTATTTTATTTTTGCTTTTTGGGTCCCACCCAGCGATGCTCGGGGGTTCCTCCCGGCTCTGCACTCAGGAATCACTCCAGGCGGTGCTCGGGGGACCCTATGGGATGCCGGGGATCGAACCCGGGTCGGCCGCGTGCCAGGCCAACGCCCTCCCCGCTGTGCTATGGCTCCAGCCCCACTTTCCTCCTTCTTGCAGCTGCGACAGCCCCCAGTGAAGAGGTTGCGACTGCGAGGCGATTGGTCGGACACGGGGCCGCGGGCGAGGCCGGAGAGCGAGCGGGAGCGAGATGGTAACGATACGGGCGTCTCCCCTGTTGGTTTATTTGGGCTCGGGGCCACGCTCGGGGCTCACTCGGGGCGCTGTGCCCAGGGATCATTCCTGGTGGGTCTCAGCGACCTTTTGGGGTGTTGGGAATCGAACCCAGGTCAGCCACGTGCAAGGCAAGACCCTTCCCCACTGGCTCTGTCTCCGACTGACTCGTGGACCTTTTAAAAACCTAGAAAAAAAAAACTATCAAGGGGCTGGAGCGATAGCACAGCGGGGAGAGCGTTTGCCTGGCACGCGGCCGACCCGTGTTGGATCCTCGGCATCCCACAGGGTCCCCTGAGTACCGCCAGGAGTAATTCCTGAGTGCAGAGCCAGGAGTGACCCCTGAGTATCACTGAGTGTGACTAATAATAATAATAATAATAAGTGTAGCACTGTAGGGTTGGAGCGATAGCACAGCAGGTAGGGCATTTGCCTTGCACGAGACCAACCTCGCCAACCCAGGTTTGATTCTTCTGCCTCTCTTGGAGAGCCCGGCAAGCTGCCGAGAGTATCTCGCCCACATGGCAAAGCCTGGCAAGCTCCCCATGACGTATTCGATATGCCAAACACAGTAACAGGTGTCACCATGGAGACGTTACTGGGCCCCTTGGAGCAAATCGATGAACAACGGGAGGACAGTGACAGTAGCACTGTAGCAATGTCCTCCTGTTGTTCATCAATTTGCTCGAGCGGGCACCAGTAAAGTCTCCACTGTGAGACTTGCTGTTACTGTTTTTGGCATATCAAATAAACTATGGGGAGCTTGGCAGACTTTGCCATGCGGGCAAGATACTCTCGGTATCTTGCAGGCTCTCTGAGAGGGGCGGAGGAATCGAACCCGGGTTGGTGGCATGCAAGGCAAACGCCCTACCTGCTGTGCTATCCAGCCAAATAACAATAATATTAATAATAATAATAATAATAAATTTTAAAAAACCTATTGTGTAGCTAATAATCTGGGTGCCAGGAGAGGTCGCACCGGCTGGAGGACATGCAGGAAGCCCAGCCTGGCCCCCCGGCACCACAGGGACCCTGAGCACCATGCTGGGAGCAACCCCCAAGCACTGAGCCAGGAGTAGTAGCCCCAAGTATGACCCAGAACCAGGTTTTTTACAAAAATTATTATTGTGGATTCCTGCTTAGGAGACCCTCCTGTCTCCTCCTTGCCCTTTCCCGTTCCTCCGATTATTTTCAGGAATTGAATTCTTCTGAAATCAGGGGGTAAGGAAGAGGCGTGGGACTTGCTTCCCTTCCTTAACCGTGGCATGCCACGGTTACCCTCACAGCCTGGAACAGCCCGTCTCAGGCAGAAGTCCCTCTGTGGGCACTGGGTAACGTGTTTGCAGTTTGACAGTCGTCAAATGACCCCCCAGAGGGTTGGGCCACTGTCCGTTCCCACCAGAAGTGTCACTGTCACTGTCCTCTCATTGTTCATCGATTTGCTCGAGCGGGCCCAGTACCTTCTCCATGGTGAGACTTGCTGTGACTGTGTTTGGCATCTCGAATACACCACGGGGAGCTTGCCAGGCTCTCTGAGAGGGGCGGAGGAATCGAACCCGAGTCAGCCGTGTTGGCTGGAAGTGTAGTAACCCCATTTCTCCCTTAAAGCATGGTAAGACGTCCTGCATTTTTTGATACAAAGAGAAGCCAAAGCTCACTCTCCACATTGACAGTTCCCTGGCAGCACCCAGGGGTCATCGTCTTCTCTAAAGTGCCTAAGGATTGACCCCAAGAAATTTAGCTTTTTGGGGGGGGGGGAATCTCACACCCAGCAATGTTCAGGGCTGACTCTCATCTCTGTGCTCAGGAATCACTCCTGGCAGTGCTTGGGGGACCCTATGGGATGCCGGAGACCAAACCCGGGTTGGCTGTCTACAAGGTCAACTCCCTACCCGCTGTGCTATTGCTCCAGCCCCAACCCCAATAAATTTAAAATGACAACTGCTGAAATTGGGTTTATTGTATATGCATTTTAATAACATGGGTGTGTAGCAAAAAATCTTGATTTAATGACTTCTGAAATCTTTTAAGGTAAAAATCGTATTCTACAATATATTATTTCTGGTCAATTGAAATTACATTTTTACACATAAAGCTGTTATACAAAGACAGTGAAGTGTAAAATGCCTTTTTAATGAAAATCCGAGGGGAGTTGATTTCTTTTTTGATTTTCAGTGTTTCGTGTGATGTTGGGGACCAGACCCCGTCCTCAAGTTCTCGCCCGTCAGGCCTCATCCCTAGCCCCCAATTTTCATCTTGAACGATAAAGATTGTAGCATGAAATCATCAGATTTAATTTGATGTGTCCTACTTAAATAGCCATGCCCTTTAAAAGTCACTTTGAGATGTGTGGGATTTACTTTCAGAAAGTGGGCTGGAGCCATAGCAAGTGGGTAGGGCATTTGCCTTGCACGTGGCTGACCCGGGTTCGATTCTTCTGCCCCTCTCGGAGAACCCGGCAAGCTACTGAGAGTGTCCCGCCTGCACGGCAAAGCCTGGCAAGCTCCCCGTGGTGTATTCAGTATGCCCAAAACAGTTACAACAAGTCTCACAATGGAAACGTTACTGTTGCCTGCTCGAGCAAATCAATGAACAACAGGAAGACATTGCTACAGTGCTAAGTGATCCCATATTTCACTGTATAGCTCTGGTTTTCCCACAGTAAAGGCCTGACCCTGGCTCTCTGCACAGGGAATCCTTCCGGGCCTGGGACCAGACTTGGGTCATCCTCCTGTACGACCTCTCTGGCCGGCGTCCCACCTTTTTAAAAAAACAACAAAAAAGGGGCTGGAGCTATAGCACAGCAGGGAGGGCGTTTGCCTTGCAGGCGGCTGACTCGGGTTCGATCCCCAGCATCCCATAGGGTCCCCCGTGCACCGCCAGGAGTGATTCCTGAGTGCAGAGCCAGGAACCAGCCCTGAGCATAGCCGGGTGAGACGCAAAAAACAAAAACAAACAAAAAAAAAAACTGGCATAAATCTGCATAAATCTTCGCAGTGGAATATGATACAGAGACATTCAGTTCCGGGATCTTGGAGAAAGTTCCTTTGGGTCTTGCCCTGCCTTGGGTCCTGGCTCTGTGTTGTGGGTGTTGAGTAGGCATGGGGGAACTTTGGCGAGGCCTCGCCCTGTGCAGCCCCAATCCTGCGCCGCGCCAGAGCCTGTATCTCCGTGGCCCCCCGGCCCTGTGATGAGACGTCTTGGTACCTCCTTACGTTCCAGATGCACGCAGTCATCATGCCCTTGATTTGTTTTCAGTTCAGTGTGTTTCTTTTTTTTTTTTTTTTTTGGCTTTTTGGGTCACATCAGCGATGCTCAGGGGTTCCTCCTGGCTCATGCACTCAGGAATCACTCCTGGCAGTGCTCAGGGACCCTATGGGATGCCGGAACCGAACCGGGGTCGGCGCATGCCAGGCAAACGCCCTCCCCGCTGTGCTGCCGCTCCGGCCCCAAGTCAGCGTGTTTCTGAAGGTCCGCCCGAGCGGCAGCTCTGCAGAGCCCTGTGTTGTCATAGGCGAACAGAGCCCCAACGTGTCCCTGATGCAGAGGATGTCGGACATGCTATCCAGATGGTTCGAGGAGGCCAGCGAGGTGGCCCAGAGCAGCCGAGGCCGGGCGCGGCCCAGAGGTGAGACCCGGGGAAGGGCCGTGGGGGGGTGGGGGCTGCTCGCCGCCGGCCCCCCCAGCGCCCCTAGCCGTGCGGGTCCCGCACCCCGTCCGGGCTGGCCACGACGCGAGGTTGTTCCCTTGGAAGGTGGGACCCACCCGTCTGACGTCTCCACTCTCTCCGCCGTCCCGTCGAGCGCCGACCTGGAAGTAGGTGAGACCGCCATGGAAGTGGACGTGCCCGTCGAGTCCTTCCTGCCTCCCTCCGCCTCCTCCTCCACGTCCCTGCGGGCCCACTCCACGGCGTCCACAGACAGTCTGGTCTCTTCCCCAGAGAGCGAGCACCGGCTGGCGGCCGACGCGTCGGGGCCCCCCACACAGCATCAGTCCGGTGAGACGTTACTCTTTCCATAAAGCGTTCGCGGGCGCGCGGGGGAGTGCGGCTCAGTCACCTCGGCGTCCGGTCGGGTCACTGACCCACATGCCATAGGTCAGCATGGAGCTGGGACACACGTCCCCGGTGCCTCCGCTGCTTTCTGATACCTCTCAGGCATCACCGGTTTGCAGAACGGCAGTTGCTGCTCTTCCTGGAAAACACAGGTGCCAGCCAGTGATGTTTGGACGTATTTTTTATTCACTTGCCTTATCATCCTGTGTTAAAGTCACACTGAAAATACAGTCCTGGGGGCTGGAGCGATGGTACAGAGGGGTGGGCATCTGGCTTGCACATGCCGACCTGGGTTCGATTCCCAGCATCCCATATGGTCCCCTGAGCACCACCAGGGGTAATTCCTGAGTGTATGAGCCAGGAGTAATCCCTGTGCATCACCAGGTGTGACCCAAAAAGCAAAAAGAAAGAAAATACAGTCCCAGGGGTTGGAGGCTAGCATATCAGGGAGGGCGTTTGCCTTGCACACAGCCGACCCAGGTTTTGATCCCCGGCATCCCATAGGGTCCCCCCAGCACTACCAGGAATGATTCCTGAGTGCGTGAGCCAGGAGTAACCCATGTGCATCGCCAGATATGACCCAAAAAGCCAAAAATATATTTAACAAAAAATACAATCCTAATACTTACTTGTTCCCTATATTTGTATATATTTTTTAATATTCCCCAGATCATATGGAATGTCAAATACATTCTGCATTTGCTTTTAATCCTTCTGTATGATCTCTTACCATCAACGCATGGTTTGCCAGAAAAGTTATTGCCCTGGAGTTAACGTGAAGAAAAAGGATCGTTACTTAGCATTTGTAGTTGGGGGCGGGGGAAGTCAGCTCCTGAATGATGGCAAAATGCTCTTTTCCCCTGGGTCCACTCCTCACATTCAAGATATTTCCCACGAGTATGGAATGTACTAGCATTGAGAATAATTTTTAGCAGATGTATACCTAGCTTACTTGGCATTTAAACTGCGTATGCCTACGATTATGATAACCATGTTGTTAAGGTGGTTTTGAAAAATAATCATGTCTTTTAATTAAAATAGACGTGTTTCTGTTTTTCTTTGAGTTTTTCTAAGGAAGCATCTTACTTGACATAAGAACCAAAAAATATTAGCCGCGAGAGAACCAGCTAGCAGTCTTAGTGAGATGGGAACTATTAAAATTCAAAAATTCCTAACAGCTTAGCTGCCAAGCTGTTGCTTTATTCTTCCCTCTCTGCGATCTGATATCAGCTCACAAATGGGTGTTTTAAATGAAGCACATTGGGATCAATCTGTCCCATTTTTTGGTAATTCGTTTTCCGCTTCTGTGGGAATAGAACCCAGCGACCGTTACGTAACGATCCACACTTGCGTATAATTTCTCTCTATTAAGGAGTTCGAGCCGAGCTATAAAGCAGGCTTCCCATGGTCTAATTGACGTAGCTATACTCGCTTTACAGGAAAATAAAATATCCCGGAGAATTTGCGAAGCAGGCCCGAGACGAGGTCAGAATGTGCTTTTCTGAGCAGTTAGTAAAAGTGCGACTTTTTTAAGGATGGGGATGTTGGAGACGGTGAGATTCTGAGCCGGGCCGGGCTGTGGGTGCTGCGAGGAGATGCTAGCCTTCCTTCCCGCCGACTCCCAGCTTCTCGGGCTCAGCTGGGTTAGGCTTCCGTTTTTGGGTTTCGTTGCCTGTTTCCAACACGCTTGAATCTCCCATTTCCGGCTTGCCGAGTCCCTGTTTCAACTTCACGTCTCCGTAAGGTTCCTTCCGTCCTGGGATTCGTAGGAAGTGGGGCGTCACCCTCTGGGTGAGGAGCCGAGTGTGACTCAGGCATCCTGTGGCAGTTTTGCTGGATGTTTTCAAAGAAAGGAGGGATGTTCTTGGTGGGTCGGTCCTGAGAACCCTGACGGCAGCCGGAGTGGTGCCCCGTGTCACCGGGACAGCTCCTGGGGAGCAGAGCGCTTCTGCGCCCGAGTGTGGGGCCCGGACCCCAGACCCCCACGTCACAGCAGGCGGCACCCTGGCCTTGGGCATTGTCCCCCAGCTTGGCCCTGGGCTTGGGTGCGTTTGTGGGTTGTGAAAGGGGGTGTGGAGGGGCCTGGGCTTCCTCCTCGTCCCTTAGCTGTCTTCCCGCCTTCCCGTCTCTCCGCAGCCGGCCCCTGTCCCCTTTCCGTGTGTCTGTCCCCTTCCCACGGGAGCTGCTGTTTCCCACAGCATGGCCCAGCCGGCGTCTCCCCAGATTCCCGCCTCCCGGGCCTCGCCCCTCTGGGCCCCATGCCCTTGCCCCGCTTGGCCACTCGCCGGGCTGCCGTGCCTGGGTACCCTTTGGTTGTCTTAGCGCCTGACTGAGTCTGTGCCACGCTTCCCTGGGCCCCCCCCTGCCCCCCTAGTCGGCCGCTGGTTTACTGAGAGCTGAGACTCGGCTCTTTGCATCTGGAGGGGCTGAGAGAGTTCTCCCCCCTCTCTCTCCCTCTTTCCCTCCCCCTCCCCCTCTCTCCCTCCCCCCCCTCCCTCTCTCCCTCCCTCTCTCCCTCCCTCTCTCTCCCCCTCCCTCTCTCCCTCTCTCTCCCTTTCTCTCTCTCTCCCACTCTCCCTCTCTCTCCCCCTCTCGCTCTCTCCTTCCCTCTCTCCCTCTCTCCCTCTCTTTCCCTTCCTTTCTCTCCCTCTCTCCCTCTCTTCCTTTCTCCCCCTCTCTCTCCCTTTCTCCCTTTCTCCCTCTTTCCCTCCCCCTCCCCCTCTCTCCCTCTCTTTCCCTCCCTCTCCCTCCCTCTCTCTCCCCCTCCCTCTCTCCCTCTCTCTCCCTTTCTCTCTCTCCCGCTCTCTCCCTCTCTCTCCCCCTCTCACTCTCTCCTTCCCTCTCTCCCTCTCTCCCTCCCTCTCTCTCCCTCCTAGCTCTGCATTCAGGAATCACTCCTGGTGGGCTCTGGGGTCCCTTTGGGGTGCGGGGCTGGAGCAGGTTGGCGGGTTGGCCATGTGGGGGGCAGACATCTCCCCACTGTCCCACCCCCCCCCAGTCCCGGGCCTCTGCTCCTGGGTCCCTGGCGTCCTCTGCGTCCGTCTGTCTGTCCAGGCTCTCCCCCTCTCCTTGGCTCTCCCCACCACACCCAGAATGAGCATCTTGAAAGTTCAAGGCAGCGGACACCCCTTTGCTCTTTAAGTACCCTCAAAGGCTCCTAATCGCCCTCAGAAATATCTGTCACTGTCCTCCCGTGGTTCATCGATTTGCTCGAGCGGGCACCAGGAACGTCTCCATGGTGAGACTTGTCATGACTGTGTTTGGCATCTCGAAGACGCCACGGGGAGCTTGCCAGGCTCTGCCATGCGGGCGGGATACTCTTGGGAGCTCGCCAGGCTCTCCGAGAAGGGCGGAGGAATCGAACCCGGGTCGGCCACGTGCCAGGCAAACACCCTCCCCGCTGTGCTATCGCTCCAGCCCAGAAATGCAAGAAAAGAAAAGCCAGTCTGGCTGTCTCCGGGGCCCTGTAGGAGCTGAGGGGCAGCCCGGCCAGACCAGGCTCTGTGAGCGAGGGAGGAGGAGGAGGAGGGAGGAGACGGCGCTGATTGCCCACAGCGCTCTCAGAGAGTGCTCCGTGTCCCGGCCCAGGCACGTTTCCAGGCGTGTGGCTTCCTCATTTGTGGCATGGAATTTAGTTCCTCAGGATGAGTAATTTTTGCTACTAGCTAGAGAGACATTGGTCAGGGACTGGAGAGAGGGCACAGAGGGTGGGGCCAGAGGGTGCCCGGGCACCGCAGACCAGAACAGCCAGAGCCGAGATTCGCAGTTTGGTCATTTCTGGGTCTCCCTTTGTCATAAGAAGGGATGAAGTTGGTGAGGGCAGGAGTGCTCCCCAGGGAGAGAAGCGTGGGGCCCGGGCTCTCCTCCTCGAACCCGGCTGCTCCCCCCTGGTCCCGGGTGCTCCCTCCCTGGTTTCCGGGTGCTCTCCCCTGGCCCCAGGTGCTCCCCCCTGGACCCTGGGTGCTCTCCCCTGAGTCCTGGTGCTCTCCCCTGGGTCACGGGTGCTCCCTCTGGATCCTTGGTGTTCCCCTCTAGTCTCAGGTGCTCCCTCCTGGATCCTGGGTGCTCCCCCAGGTCCGAGTGCTCCCCCCAGTCCCAGGTGCTCTCCCTGGTCTCGGGTGCTCCCCTCTGGGTCCCAGGTGCATTCCCTGGGACTGGATGCTCTCCCTGGGTCCCGAGTGCTCCCCCCTGGCCTCAGGTGCTCCCCCTTGGGTCCTGAGTGCTCCCACCTGGCCCCGGGTGCTCCCTGTCCCCCCGCTGACGCCGTCTCCCCTCTCTCGGCCAGAGTTTCTGAGGGGGCCCGAGATGGCGCTGCTCCGGAAGCGTCTGCAGCAGCTGCGACTCCAGCGGGCCGAGCAGCAGAGGCAGCAGGGACTCGCCGGGCCCGCGCCCGCCCCCGGCCAGGCTCCCGGGGAGGAGGGCGCCCCGCAGCCCGCGCCCGCGCCAGGTCTCACGCAAGTGGCCTTGAGGGGCGGCCCGAGTTGCCTGTGGGCCGCTGCTGCCGTGTGCTGAGATGCTCCCCTGGCTGCCTGCCCTCCCCTGCCCTCCCCTGCCCTCCTCTGCCCTCCTCTGCCCTCCCTTCCTGCTCCCTCCCCTCCCCTTCTTTTCCCTTCCTCTTTCATCTCCTCCCCTCCCCTCCCTCCCCTCCTCTCCCCTCCCCTGCCCTGCCCTCACCTCCCTTTTCCTTCCCCTCCACTCTCCTCCGCCTTCCTTTCCCTCCCCCTCCCCCTCCCTTTCCCTCTCCTCCCTTTCCCTCTCCTCCCCTTCCCTCCCCTCCCCTTCCCTCCCCAAGGTGTGGTGCCTCCAGCTTCTCCCTCCCTCACTGGTACTCACTGCATGGGCCAGGGGCAGACCCAGGAAAACACAGTAACCTGCCCCTTCCTTTGCCGGTGTTCGAAGAGGCTCCTGCGTGCTTCCTTCGCTGACTTCCTAACGCCTTGCCCGCTGAGTGTTGCTCTTTCTTCTGAACTTCTTAACCTATCCCGGCTCCTGACTCTCTGATTTTCGTTCCGAAGGGATTGTGTGTGTGTGTGGGGGGGGGGGGGGGGGAGGAAGGCTGCGTGTGGGGGCCATCCCAGGGTCTCGGCTGTGGGCCTCCCGCATCCCTTGGAGACGTCTTCCCTCGGCCCTGCGTGTCTGCCTTCAGAGTTTGCCCGTGTTCCTCTAAAAAACAGTGTGTGTGTGTGGGGGGGGGGGTTTGCAGTGACCGTATTGCTTGGGCCTCAGGTGTAGCGACCCGGCCATCCCGTCCCAGAAAAATCTGAAAGTTTCCTGAGCTTCCTCGCTGCAGCCCTGACCTCATGGCCGGGGGCCGGCAGGGACCGTGCAGGTCACTCCTGGTTTCTGGGCTGTCAGAGGCTCAGACCCAGCACTGCCGCGACCCCCGCAGCCGGGCCTTTATCCCCGGAAGGCCCCTGGCCTTCTGGAACGCTCGGGAGAGTAAGGAGAGCGCGCCTCACTTACCTCTCCGCTTGATTTTCCACCATCACTGTGGTGGGCCTGGAGTAGATGTGGTCGATCTTTGTAGGAACCGAAGCATGTCTAGATTCTCTCTCATATTAATCGCAGTGCAGTGCTTTGCTGTGTTTTTTTTTTTCCCATCCTAAGATGCAACGAGTTTGGGTGTCAGTTGCTTTGAGAACTCTGAGTTAATCGCTCAGAATTAATTTGCGTGTGTTGGGAGAACCAAAACCTTCACTTTATAAAATATCTGTTCCATGAAGGGCGGTGTGTGACGACAGGACGCTGGCGTCTTCTATAACGTCACGGTGAAATGACGGGCCGAGGCTGGGGGACAGCAGGGAGGGCGCTTCCTCACACAGGGTTCCAGCCCTGCACCCCACTTGGTTTCCCCACACTGCTGGGACTGATTCCTGAGTGCAGAGCTAGAAGTAACCCATAAGCATCGCCAGGTGTGGTCCCAAAATAAAAATAGAAAGAAAAGTAATGTTAATGTGATGTTTGGAACAAATTCTGATTTTTAATAACATGGTAATCCATTAGTGGAGAGAATAACGCTCTAACAGAGATGTTGAGGGGGGTGGGTTTCTATAAAAAACCCTTACTGGGGCGGGCAAGATCGCACAGCAGGGAGGATGTTTGCCTTACACGTGGCTACCTGGGTCCAATTCCCAGCATCCCAGATGGTCCCCCAAGTACCCCCGGGTGTGGCCCATAAACCCCCCCCAAAAAAGCACGAAAAGGCTTTTCCTATATTTAAAGTTGGATTTGAATATAATCATGACACTTGGTAAGTCATTCTGCTATTTTTGTACCGTGCAGAAAACCCTCGCGAAAGTCAACCGTGCACGCTATAAAAGCGGACGTGCGAAGGGTCCAGTGTCCCAGCAGATACAAATATTTTCAAAACACTGACGCCTAACAGGTAGCAAGCAAATGAATCACTGAAGCCGATTTGAATCGGAAGCAGCATTGTTGGCAGGAAAGGTCTGTGCTTCGTGACGGTGCGAGTGTTCGGAGGCTCAGCTCTGGGCTCTGATGCCAGGTTTTTGGGTTTGTTTGTTTTTTTTTTTGTTTGTTTCTGTTTTGCTTTTTGGGTCCCACCCGGCGATGCTCAGGGGTTCCCCCTGGCTCTGCACTCAGGAATCACTCCTGGCGGTGCTGGGGGACCCTATGGGATGCTGGGAATCGAACCCGGGTCGGCCGTGTGCAAGGCCAACACTCTCCCCTCTGTGCTGTCGCCCCAGCCACCTCTGGATGCCAGATTGATTGAAGCAGATTCTTCCTCGGGTTGTTTTCGGGCCCCTTGTGAGATGCTCCCCCTCACAGTGTTGTTGTCATTGAAGCTGGGCGCCTTCCCCATTTGCGCCTAACTTCCGTGCCGAGGAGATGCCGGTGTGATTTGGAACCGAGAAGATCTGACACGTGTAGGATGGTGACTGGGCCAGCGTGTCATTCTCTCTCCAAGATGCGGAGCTTTAGATCATCTGTGGGTGGCCGAGAGTGAGGCGGCCGCAGTCGGGCGTGTAGCACATGAAACTCTTTGATGGGGTCAGGTCGGAAGTCTGTGAGGACGTCAGGTAGGATACTGCTTCCTTTTTGACTGCTCCGGACGAGCCCCCTTTCAGTTCCAGGATGCTGTGTACTGTGAGGTGCTGCCATGTGCAGGGGGGCAGGGGGCGGGGGGTCAGGGGTGCACTCGGCAGTGTTCAGGGTTTGCTCTGCCCTCGAAAGGCCCTCCTGGCAGTGCTGAGGAGGGGGTGGTGGTCCTGGGATTGAACCCAGGTCAGCCACGTGCAAGGCAAATGCCCGAGCCCCGCTGAAAATTCTCTCCAGCCCCATTTTCCTCTATTGCTGTGAACTTTCTTTCTTTCTTTCTTTCTTTCTTTCTTTCTTTCTTTGGTTTGGGGCCACACCAGCAGTGCTCAGGGTTTACTCCTGGCGAAGGGGCTGGGGAGAATGGTGGCTGCAGGGGACCCTGTGGGATGCTGGGGATCGAACCTGGGTCAGCCGCAGAGAACCTGCAGCCACCCCGGGGTCCACCCTGACACCCCCTATGGCCCTCCTGAGTACCCTGTACGGTCCCCCGAGCACCGCCAGGAGTGATTCCTGAGTGCAGAGCCAGGAGTCAGCCCTGAGCATCGCTGGGTGGGACCCAAAAAGAAAATATATATATAATATATTATATATATCACTTTAGTTTTCCCTAAAGACCGTCCTACCTGCTCTTTATACAGTGAAAGTAGGAATGTTTCCCATCCAAATAAATCTCAGGAGCTAACGGGACGGGCGTATCCGCTCCTTTCCATGTGCGGTTAAAACTTGTTGCTTTCTGACAGAGAGGTGTAGAATAAGTCAAAAACATATCCAGGGACTGGGGCGATAGCACAGCGGGGAGGGCGTTTGCCTCACACGCAGCTGACCAAGGTTCAATTCCCAGCATCCCATAGGGTCCCTTGAGCACTGCCAGGAGTAATTCCTGAGTGCAGAGCCAGGAGTAACCCTGAGCATTGCCAGGTGTGACCCGAAAAGAAAAAAAAAATCCAAACAGTGACCAGGCTTTATCTGAACCTTAGATTGCATCTGGTTTCTATCACACGGAAATGATTTTAAGTTGATAGAGGCCGTTGCAAGCGCAGGATTCAGACTTGCACGGTGGGAGCAACCGGACGTTCCAAAACTGAGAGACCCGAATATATTGGAAACCTTCTCTTTGCTCTCCAACTGAGGACGGTCCTAACTTAAAACGCCCCGGGGCGGGCTAGAACAAACGCCGTTAGGAGTAGAAAATGATGGTGCAAGTGCCAGGTGTCTGTTTGATGAATATTTGATAACTACTAATTCAAAGTTGGAGCATTAAAACTAAGAATTACTGGAGCTGGAGAGATAGCACAGCGGGTAGGGCGTTTGCCTTGCACATGGCTGACCTGGGTTCGATTCCCAGCATCCCATATGGTCCCCTGGGCACCGCCAGGAGTAACTCCTGTGCATCACCAGGTGTGACCCAAAAAGCAAAAAAAACAAAAACAAAAACTAAGAATGACTCTTCTGTTACCGGGAGACAGGGTAGGGGCCTGGGAGGTGGACGTGGGGCAGGGCCGGGCCAAGGTGGTGATGCTTAGTTGCTACGTTTTCCATTTTTCCTGCAGTGCCTGGGGAGTGAAAGGGACCAGCACCCTGGGGTGTCCAGGGAGAAGGGAGAAACTGAGGCCAGCTATTAGTGTCATAGCCAGCCACAGCCAGACCTCCCCAAGTCCAGGCCAGTTCTCCGTCCATTTAACCCGCCCAGGGGTTCATTGTATTCCTTTGGGGCCACATCTGGCGATGCTTGGGGGCGTTTCTAGCTCTGCACTCAGGAATGACTCCTTGCAGTGTTGGGGGGAACTACGGGATGCCCGGGGATCGAACCCGGGTCGGCCGCCTGCAAAGCCAGCGCCCTCCCTCGCTGTTGGACCACTCCAGCCCCTCATCCCGCCGTTCGTCCCGGCATTTTGGAAACCAGCCCCCCTCCCCCCCGTTTTCAGGGCCAGAGCGCTAGGACAGTGGGCAGGGCGCGTGCCTTCATGCATTCTGCTCAGAGTCGATTCCCAGCACCACAAAGGGTCTCCTGAGCGCCGCTGGGTGTGACTCCCACCCCCCTCCAAAAAAAGAACCTTTTCTCGAAAGTTCTTACTCTGTGGAGGAAAAAACAGTCTCCAGGGGGAACCCGTAAAGTGCTCTCCCGGCGGCCAAGGTGGGAAGCAGGAATCTAGCCCTGCTTGCGTGCGTGGGCTTCTCTTTGCCTCTCGCCCAGCTCCTGGGGAAACTGAGTCCCTCGCGAGAGCCTGCTTTTCGTGCGGCCCTCCCTGCACAGTGCTTGGAGCGCCCCTTGGCCTCTGCTGGCCATCCTCTCCGGGGCCACCAGCCGCGGCTACTCAGGGGCCAGCCGGAGGGGGCGGGCATCGGCCTGGAAGAGTCTGGGGGGGGAGGGTAGGTGCCCCCCCCCGCCCCCTTCCTGGGACTCCCCTGGCCCCTGTGGCCCCGTGGGAGGCGACGTTGCCTGAAGGACACGCAGGGACGGAGGATGCTGCCCGTGCTCGGCCCTTGGAAGCTGACCTCTCTTTTCTGTTTCAGACTCTCCTTCTTCCGGGGTTAACGCCCAGCTCGGACCCGCGACCCTGGGCAAACAGCCGGGTGCGTGATGGGAGGGGCTGGCCTTAGCCTTGCCTTCTTCCCCCAGGCTCCAGCCCACGGGGGCAGGGCGAGGGGGGCTGTGTGTGCGGGACCCTCCTTGCCTGCCCGGTCCTTGCACCCCCTACTCACCACCACAGTTAGGTGACGGGTGGAGGCGGTGGCCCCCTTGGAGGTGTTTGACGCCCGCCCACCCCCCCCCAGTAGCTTCGAGAGGAGAGAAGGTGGACACGTGCCCTGGTGAGGGGTCGCTCGGGACCCCCAGGGCAGGCTGTGCCAGAGAGGCGTGGAGGCTGCTTGAGGCTTTGGGCCGGAAGGGCTCTCCATGGATAGATTGTGGAGACCAGGACGGGTGGACGGGTCTGTTCTGCTCCGGGCTCACTCCTGATGCTTGCCTTGGCTGTGCTCGGCGCGGGTGACCAGCGCTGACGGGCTGAACGGGGGTTGCTGAGAGCCAAGCTGGCCACAGTGGGCGGCCCGGGAAGGCTGGTGGGGTCCCAGCGTGGCTCGAGTCTGTTCGTCTGAGTCCCCTGATCCGGGCTGGCTGTCCGTCCGTCTGTCCTTGGCTTAGGGCTTTGCCCGTTTTCCCTCTGCCAGGGGCTCTTGGCCACAGGGAAGCTGAAGAATCAGCCCTCACTTTCTCTCACACCTACTTTGTTTCCTGTATCTCGTCGCCTCTGAAAGAAAAACGAATCGCCGGGGCTGGAGCGATAGCACAGCAGGGAGGGCGTTGGCCTGGCACGCAGCTGACCCGGGTTCGATTCCCAGCCTCCCATAGGGTCCCCCGAGCACCGCCAGGAGCGATTCCTGAGTGCAGAGCCAGGAGGAACCCCTGAGCATCGCCGGGTGTGACCCCAAAAGAAAAAAGAAACCAAAACAAACCTATTTGGGGTTCCAGGGGCCGGAGTGATAGCACAGAAGGGAGTCAGCCCTGCGCATCACGGGGTGTGACCCAAAAAGCAAAAGAACGGAAAAAGAAAACCAAAGAAATGATAGGGGCTGAAGCGATAGTACAGCGGGGAGGGCATTTGCCTTGCACGCGGCTGACCCGCATCCCATAGGGTTCGATTCCCAGCCTCCCATAGGGTCCCCCGAGCACCGCCAGGAGCGATTCCTGAGTGCAGAGCCAGGAGGAACCCCTGAGCATCAAGACGCCTCTCGTTTGCTTTGACTTCCCGAGAGCGTATTCTTTTTTTTTTTTTTTTTAACTTTTATTAGCGAAACACCATGAGGTACAGTTGTAGACCTACAGATCCCTGCGCTTGGGTTTCAGTTATACAATGATCCAATCCCCATCCCTCCACCAGGCCCGTTTTCCACCACCACGGGTCCCAGTATCCCTCCCATGTGATGTCAGTCCCGGAACTGGCGTTGGGGAAGCCCCCGGGTCACCCATGGTAGAGCAAACCTGATCTCTTGGGGTCCGGGCAGAAGCGTTCCGCAGGCGACGGGCCAGCAGTCGGTGTGCCTTGTTTGACTCTCTCCGTCCCAGGCCGCTCGTCTCCCTCAGAAGAAAGGAGCGTAAGCCTGGGCTGAGTTTGTCCCTTGCAGACCCCAAACGGTTTCTCCGGTGAGGGGCGGTGGAAGGGCTCTGAAGGGTTTGGTCGTGTTTCTGATGAGCCGAGCTCCGCTTTCCAGCCTCCAAAGTCCCCTCTGGGAGCGACCCGGGCACTGCCGTAGCCGCCTCTCAGACGCCTCTGGCGAAAGCGCCATCCGGGCATTAGATGGACTCCTGCAGCAGTGCTCGGGGGCGGGGGGAAGGAAGAGGAACCGAGGGATGGAGCTGGTGGCAGAGAGCGACCCCCTTTGCTTCCGCTGCCCCCCGGGATAGGTCAGGTGCCGGCCTCGAGCCCCCTCCCCACCCCCCTTCACGGTTTGGAGTTTGTGTGTGTGGAGAAACGCGGCAACGCCCGAGTGCCGGCGGGACTGTGTCAGGCCCCGGGTGGCGACGGCGTCTGGCGCACACTGACGCCTCCCCCTCGCTTGGGCGCTTGCCAGAGCCCGACGACAGGGACCCCCGCCCCCCCGCCCTGGTTAATCGAGTTTTATGAATTGTAGGAAATGTCATCTGTTTCTTGGTTTCAGAGACTTTTTTCAAATGTTTTACACACGATTTTCAGATGACACTAATGAAAAGCTGAGCCCCAAGCCAGGGACAGGTGAACCCGTTTTAAGTTTGCACTACAGCACAGAAGGAACAACCGCAAGCACAATAAAACTGAACTTTACAGACGAATGGTAAGTGCACGTTTTTGTACAGCTGTTCTTAGCCGTGTGTAGGGTCGTAGTCGGTACCTCCAGCCACCCCCGGGCCCTGCACTGCCCTGTCCCACGCGGGAACTGGCCACCTCTGGGTGCCGGGCCGGCACCTGTCTCAGCCCCACCGAGGACGAAGTCAGGGCAACATTGCTGGAACTTTCCAGCCTATTCCTAGCAAAAGCAGGGGCCGGAAGACGTAGCACAGTGGGGAGGGTGCTTGCCTTACACGCAGCCAACCGGGGGTTGATCCCTGGCACCCCCCATGGTCCCCCAGCACCGCAGAACGCAAAAGGTGTCATTATTAAGTGCCTGAGAAACCATTAGGGCAAAAATAACCAACCTAATATTTTTAGAACGTTTGCAGGCTTGGTTCTGTGTGTGAAGAAATACAGATTTAAGATTAACTTTTAATCAGACTGGATGTGATCTGTTAACTCTATAGTAATCCTGGGTTCGTACCTAACGTTTTTAAATATTGCCATACTAGCTCTCTGATATGCCAAGTAGAGATGTTCAAGCTTAACACTTCCCGCTCATTGAGCAGAGGATTTATTTACTTTTTAATTTTTGGTAAGGCTACATTATTGTATGTCTTTGTTACAAACTTTTTCCTACCGCTAACATTCCCCCCCCATCTACTCCTAGTTCTAAATATATTTCCACAAAGGAGCTATTTCTGAGTCAAATTAATTCCCTGATTATTTTCCAGAGGTCCTCTGTTTTTACATTTCTGCCAGCAGCACAGAAGTATGCATTCGCATTTCCAGACCACTGTTCCTATATTCATGGGTTTTTAACTGATTTTATTTTCAAATCAGTGATAGCGCATATGCCTTAAATGTGTGAAATCCTAGGTTTGGTACACACACACACACACACACACAAGAAACTTTATTTTAAAATAGATTTTTCTATCGGTTTATATTGGTAATAGCCAGTCTATCTTTATTGCTTAGTAGTGAAGTTAAGCTTTGACTCAGGGTTGCAGAGGGTCTCTTTAACAATATTTCTGATATTTACTAATACTATGTTAATAGATAATATAATCCACCTTTTAATATATAATGTCATTATATATTATATAGTGATTATATTGATCATCTTATAGCTAATATATTGATTATTCTACATAATTGATATATTAACATATAATTGTATGCTAATACAATTTCTATGTGTTGGTATATGATCTGTAAATAATATATAACCTAGCTATATATTATTTATGAATATATAACTCTGTGTTGATATATGATCCGAGTTGTTCCCGGTCATTGGTTTTCACCTGTTTTCCTGTGTGTGTGTGTGTGTGTGTGTGTGTGTGTGTGTGTGTGTGTGTGTGTATCCTGTGCTGAAGTCTGCGGTTTGGTAGGAGTTTCAGGCACTGTCGCATACCTTCGTGCTCAGGGCAGGCTGAGAAGCTCTTGGAATCTGGGGTCCGGCCTGGCGAGAGGCGGGACAGCCGCGGGTGTTTCTGCTGCTGCTCTCGGGCCTAGGGATAATGTCACCAACGTCCAGTGGTCCTGGGCCCCGAGGCCAGTTCCCTGGCCCTGCTCTCGCGATGGTGCTGGGCACTGGGAACGCGCCAGTTGAAGGATGCTCGGGCCCAATGTCCCTGCTTTACTGGCCGGGTGGTCCAGTGCACGGGGCCGGGCGCTGTGGGAGAAGGCGGGCGGGCAGGGGGTGGGCAGGGTTCGAGAGGCTGTTAGTGTTAGGGGGAGAAGCACGGGCCGCCCCCGGGAAGGGTCTGGCAGAGCCAGCACTCGGGTGGCCGAGTCGCGGGCCCGGGGAAGTGGGCACCATGCTTCAAGGGGGGGCGGTCACCTCTGGGTGCTGTTGGCGGAGACCCGGGCAGGGAGCAGGCCCAGCGGCTGAGACCACAGGGGTCAGGCCCTCCCTGGCGTCTGAGGAGCGAGGCGCAATGGCCAAGGTCACAGGGGCCACTTACCAGCGGGCGCCTCCGTGGAGCTTCCGTGCAGAAGGGACTGGAGCACATCAAGAATCTCATCGGAGGGGCCGGAGCCATAGCCCAGCGGGGAGGGCGTTGGCCTCGCACATGGCCAGCCCAGGTTTGATCCCCGGCATCCCAGAGAGGTCCCCCCGAGCACTGCCAGGAGTAATTCCTGAGTGCAGAGCCGGGCAACCCCTGTGCATTGCCGGGTGGAACCCAAAAAGCGAGAAAAAAAAAAAAACTCATCGGAGCATGTGGAAGGCCCACGCCTGAGTCCCACCCTGCTGGGAATCAGCTTCCTGTGTCTTGATCCCGCGTGGGATTCGCTTCGCTTCTGCTCTGGAACCTCTTCGCGGCCCAAAGGGAACCTTGCCGAGAGGCGTGTGTGGTCCCTGTCACGGCCTGCTCCTTGCTTCCGAGTTTGCGTTTTCTGGGGGTTTCCGAGTGTGGGAGCCAAGAACGGGGGGCTCCAGGCCCCGGGAGGAGCCCCTGCCTGGAGGGGCCCTTGCCCCCCACCCCACCCCCAGCTCCTGGCGCTGCCGGCTGGGAGCCCCGGCCGCCCCTCGCTGTGGATGAGTCGGAGGACAGCGTTTTGTCCCCGTTTGTGGCCCCCGGTTTCCCAGCGTGTGTTTGTGTCTCGGTTTTCTCGGCGACACTTTGCCCTCCCCAGGGAGCTGCCCTGGTGAGCCTGCCACGCGGGGAGGGGAGAGGCCGCATCCGACCCCGCACCCGGCCCGCTGCAGTTCCTTTCGTCCGTCCTGCCCTGTGATGGATGCAGAGCTCGAGCTTCACTCCGCCACCTGCCTTGTTTCTCTGTCCCAACGCCCTCTGGCGCGATCTGTGTCTCTGTGACTTAAAGTGCCATTTAACACGACAAATAAATGTCTGGCTTGGTTACTTGTCTCTTCCACTAACAGCTCCTTCTTCCTGTCAGCGCTGTGAAGCTGCAAATCCCCTGTAGTCTCCGCTGAGCGTTGCCTCCCTTGTGCCTGTGACCCCGCTTTCCCGGCCAGGCGGCCGGGCGGGCGGCGACATCTGTCTCTCTCTCGGTGCCTTCTCTTTACCAGAAATATCTGTTGGGGCCGCAGGCTAGGGCAGAGTTCAGCCGCTTGCCTTGCATGCAGCAATCCGGGATCCATCCTGGCACCCCGAATGGTCCCCCGAGCCTGCCAGGAGTGGCCCCCAAACAAACCAGAAAAAAAGTAAATAAGAGGGGCTGGAGCCATAGCACAGCGGGTAGGGCGTCTGCCTTGCACGCGGCCAACCTGGGTTCGAGTCCCAGCATCCCATATGGTCCCCTGAGCAGCACCAGGGGTAATTCCTGAGCTCAGAGCCAGGAGGAACCTCTGAGCATCGCCGGGTGTGACCCAAAAAGCCAAAAAAAAAGTAAATAAGAAGAAATATATGTTCATTGCGCCCCCCTCACCCCCAATCCAGCTTCTAGAAGAGAGCACGAGAACTCTGCTCGCAGTAACCCCATTCTGAGAGAACGCTCGGGTTGGCGGCCTTGTGCATCCGTTTCTCTGGGTGGGCAGCTGTGTAGATGCACATTCTTTTCAGCACTACCAGGGCTGGAGCGATAGCACAGTGGGGAGGGCGTCTGCCTTGCACGTGGCCGACCCGGGTTCGATTCCCAGCATCCCATAATGTCCCCCTCAGCATCGCCAGGAGTCATTCCTGAGAGCATGAGCCAGGAGTAACAACTGCATTGCCGGGTGTAACCCAGAAAGCAAAAAGTCAAACACTACCAGACATGGATGCCTTTGGAAAGAAATCAAATTGAGGGCTGTCCAGTGCAGTGAGTTATAGTATAGGGACACTTGCCTGGCAGGTGGCCAGCCTGGGTGTGATCCCTGGCATTCCATAGGGCTGGGAGTCAGCCCTGAGCAAGGCTGGGTGTAGCCTCCACTAGCCCCTCCCCCCCAAAAAGAAAGAAATCAAATTGATGTCAGCCAGCCGTTCAAAGGCTTTTATACAATCTTGTCAAAAAATCCGTGGTAAATTTGCATTATTTTGGAATCACTGCTATCGTGTATAATGCAGGATGTTACAAGGCTTGAGATTCGAAACGTAAGAAAATGTTGCATTTCTGTGAATTCAGTCTGAGTTGTTGCCTGTGTGCCTGTTTTCTTTCCTACCCAGTCTCCTTCTTACACAGAAGGCTGTGATTCATCACAGAATGCTCACTGGAAGTGACTTAGGTAGTTCCATTTTTGGATACCCCAGCCCGTGCCAGCTGTCTGGGTTTTTTCCTTCTCAAGCTCACTTGAACCACTTAAAATTTTTTGTTTAAAAAAAAAAAAAAGGACTTCCTGCAGCTGGAGCAGTAGCACAGCGGGGAGGGCGCTGGCCTTACGTGCAGCCGACCCAGGTTCAATCCCCGGTACCCCATAGGGTCCCTGAGCCCCTCCAGTGTGATCCCTGAGTGCAGAGCCAGGAGGCAGCCCTGGGAACCGCCAGGTGTGACCCCCCAAACAAAACAACGTAAAGATGATGTCTTGGGGCTGGAGCAATAGCACAGCGGGTAGGGTATTTGCCTTGCATGTGGCCTACCTGGGTTCGATTCTCAGCATCCCATAGGGTCCCCTGAGCATCACCAGGTGTGATTCCTGAGCACAGAGCCAGGAGTAAGCCTTGTGCATGGCCGGGTGTGACCCCCCCCCCCAAAACAAGAAAAAAAGATGTCTTGAATTTGGTCTCGTATTACACTGTGACCAAAAGTGATGTCAGGACTTGAGGTGACCCAAGAGGGTGCTGAACCGCCAAAACAGTGACTGCAAAGCAGTTGGTCGCTGCCATCCCTGGCGCCTGCTACAGTCCCAAGCAGCACATCACCCACAGGCGACCTTTCGAGACCAAGGAAACCTAAAAGGCACCAGGGGAAGTGCTCAGGCCTGGACTGGTCCCCAGCACTGCAGGAAGTAATAATCACAATAAAGGTGGGGTCAGGAAGCCAGCGAGGACCTAGAGAGTGTGAGCCGGCCTGGCAGGGGTCGTTACACACTGGGGTGCCCGAACACAGCCGAGCGGTCCTTCTGCGCGCGGAAGCCGTTTGGAGGGGACTGTTGTGAGTGGGCGCTTAACTGTGTAGAGACGGGCCCGGGCCACGGCCTCCTCACCCCCGGGGCCACTTCCTTGTCCCCGCAGGAGTAGCACCGCCTCGAGTTCCCGCGGAAACGGGGGTCACTGCAAGGTGGAAGGACAGGATGACTCCCTGGACCCGCAGAGCCCGGGCTCGGCCCCCGAAGGAGACTGCGCGTCAGGTAAGCGCGCCCGCCGCCTCCCGCTTTCTCCCGCAGCCCCTTTCTCCGGCTGCCGCCCAATCTCTGTCAGGATTTGCAGAGGATGCGGGGGGGGGGGGCGGGGGAGGCCTTCTTGGCGACATGCTCAAGGAGGACCCTGTTTTATCCGCGAGGAGTCACCGTTTCCTGTGGAGCGAATAGACAGCCCATCGGGAACAGAGATGGGAAGAGGGGCTGGAGGGGGGCTGGAGCGATAGCACAGCGGGGAGGGCGTTTGCCTTGCACACGGCCGACCCGGGTTTGATTCCCAGCATCCCATAGGGTCCCCTGAGCACCGCCAGGAGTAACTCCTGAGTGCATGAGCCAGGAGGAACCCCTGTGCATCGCCGGGTGTGACCCCCCCCAAAAAAAAAAGAAGAGGGGCCGGAGGCCTGAGGGGGTCCCCCAAAGGCAGGGCCGCGCCAGACACACCACCGGGAGTGGCGGGAAGCCCCGGGCTCAGCTGGGCTGTAGGGACAGGACAGGCTCTGTGGGGGCGGGATGCCTCCCGTGGGGGCGTGCCACGTGGCCTCCGTGTCACCTAGACAAGCTCTCGAAAGCGGGGTTCCTCTCTGTTTCTCCTGCAGAAGCGCCAGAGTCCCCCCCGGAGGCCACGGTGGCGTGTCCAGAGGCTGCGTCCCCAGAGCGGGAGAGCTCGCACCCCAGCCCCCCGGGTGCAGAGCAACGCACGGGCCCGCCCCGCAGCCCCCTGGATGCAGACAGTCGGACCAGCGAGCCCTCCCCCAGCCCCCCAGGTGTAGGCGAATGTTTGAGCCAGCAGCCCGGCCCTCAGGATGTGGACAGACACACGAGCTCGGCCCCCGGCCCCCCGGGGGCAGCCGCTGGTGCAAGTTCACCCCCCAGCCCCCCGGGTGCAGCCGCAGGGGTGAGCCCGCCCCCCGGCCCCCCGGATGCGTCTGCAGGTACAAGATCATCCCCCAGCCCCCCGGATGCAAACACAGGTGCAAGATCGCCCCCCGGCCCCCCGGAAGCAGGTGCAGGTGTGAGCTCGGCCCCCAGCCCCCCGGATGCAGATGCAGGTGTGAGCTCGGCCCCCGGCCCCCAGGATGCAGACGCAGGTGCGTGGCCTTGCTGGGAGCCGGGTCTGCCTGCACCCCTGCATTCGGGGCAGCCCGTGGGAGAGGACCCGTCCCACAGTCACTGTCCCCCACAGCGCGCTCGGGTGAGGAGCAGGGGGAGACGCAGAGCGGTGCTGCCGAGAACCCCCAGGGCGCAACGGGATCCCCCGGCGCCGAGAAGGCCACAGACAGCAGCGCGGAGCAGCCCAGCCCAGGCTCTGCCTTGCCCGAGCCCCCTGCTCAGCCTGAAGCCGGGGGACCCTCGAGTCAGGAGGAGGCAGGAGCCCGGGACTCTGCCCTCCAGGACACAGATGACAGCGATGACGACCCCGTCCTGATCCCGGGGGCGCGCTACCGGACAGGCCCCGGGGACAGGTGGGTCGGCCTTGGTTAGGGGTCGGGGTGAGTGACCGGGGCTGGGGGGGGCCGGGAAGGGGAAGGAGGCCGCTGCCACCCGTGTCCCCCGGGTCCCCTTTCTGCCTGCCTGTCCCTGGACTCTGCCGTGGGTTGCTGGGGGGGTCGTTGAGGATTCTATCAGCTTCCGTCTATCCCAGGTTCAGAAAATGCCCCTTGGTTTCTGTTTGGGGGCCACACCCGGTGGTGCTTGGGCTCCCTCCTGGCGGAACTCGGTGGTGCCCGTAGGTGGTGCCTGCAGCAGCGTGCCGTGTAGACTGACTTCTCTTATCTCCCGCGTGTCGCCACAGGCGCTCTGCCGTCGCCCGCATCCAGGAGTTCTTCAGGCGGAGGAAGGAGAGGAGGGAGATGGAGGAACTAGACACGCTGAACATCCGCAGGCCCCTGGTGAAGACCGTGTACAAGGGCCACCGCAACTCCCGGACAATGGTACCCGCGGCCGGACACCCCGCCAGGCGGCCTGCCTCTGCCCAGCTGGGTTTCGGGGGCCCTAGATTGTAGCGGGGAGACCAGGTTTCAGCACCACCCATGCCCCCCGGGGTCACTCCTTCTGCCCGTCGGCTGGCTCCCGCTGAGCCCCCTTCGGCTGTCTGGGTCTGAAATCCAGCTGCTTTGCAAAACTGCATCCCACTCCTGCAGGGTTTTTTTTTCCCCCCCCTTTTGGGTCACACCCAGTGATGCTCAGGGGCTCCTCCTGGCTCTGCACTCAGGGATCACTCCTGGCAGTGCTCGGGGAACGCTATGGGATGCTGGGGATCGAACCCAGGTCAGCCGTGTGCCAGGCAAACGCCCTCCCCAATGTGCTGTCACTCGAGCTCCCAACGCCTGCAGTTTTAATCCTGTTCGGATTGACAGGCGAAGTTTTGTTTCCTTGGTCTCTCTAGACTGCGATACTCATCAGGAGGATGGGCATAAGCGTTCCTATGACCATCTGTATCTAGACAGGGTTTCTCTCATATCGCCCTTGGTCTGAGCTCCCTGGAAATGCCCTTCCTGCGGCGTAGACCCAGAGTTGGCTTCAACCCCTGGGGAAATTAGCCCTCTCTGTGGCTAGCCTTGGCACGTTGACTTCATCACACTCAAAAGCATATTATTAGCCAGTGTATAGTTCTTGGCATTGTGCTGGTTACGGTTTCAGGTGAAAATAACTAAGTGTAGGAGTGAAAAGAATTCAAGAAGATCAGTAAACCTCACGGTAGCAAGGCCACAGCCGCTGTTTCTAATATCCTGGTCGAGAGAAGCCAGGTCTGCAGAACAGAAGTGGGTTTTCTTTCTTTTATTTTTCTTTTTGGGTCACACCCGGCGATGCGCAGGGGATACTCTGGCTCTGCACTCAGGAATCACAGTGTGTTTCTGAAGACCCCAAGCTGAGGTGTTTGAGGGCTTGTTTGCGCGTTGCCATTGCACGATGTGGTCATAGCTGCCACAGGGTCCAGTCAGCGCTCCGGGGAAGGAGATGGCCACCACTTGGCTCATGATAGGATGGGCACTTTTTAATTCTTGTGGCATAACGCAAAAGACACGAGGGAAGGATTCAAGGTTTTTGTGAATCTTTATCATCTTGTAAAGCAGAATCAACAGCACTTGTGGAGGATTCCTCACGATTTGTGTGAATCTCGGTCGGACCCTGCCAGACCCCGACATCTCACCCATGCGCTCAGCCCACTTTGAGTCAGTTCGTGTATGCTGGGGCGGGCGCAGAGCCTTTCCCGAAGGGGGGGCGCCCACTGCTGCTGGCCTCAGCCCTGCTGGGACCCCCCCAGCATTTCATCTTACCCATGTCTGAGCAGGAAAGGAAAGAGCCTCTTCGTCTTCGTGACACTGAGACCCGTTCCCATGCCGTTGTCCTTTTTGAACTCCTAGATCAAAGAAGCCAATTTCTGGGGTGCTAACTTCGTGATGAGCGGCTCCGACTGCGGCCACATCTTCATCTGGGACCGCCACAGTGCCGAGCATCTCATGCTCCTGGAAGCCGACAATCACGTGGTCAACTGCCTGCAGCCACACCCTTTTGACCCAAGTAAGACCCTATCCCGTTCGCAGGGGCTTCTGAGTGCCCACCAGCCGGAGAACGTAAGGACGGTCCAAACTGTCTCACTGCACTCGACTTTGGTCTTCCTGGGCTTAAACCAGCAGGCCCGAGGGATAGCAGGACAGGAGGGCTCAGGGCGCTTGCCTGCATGCAGCCAGTCTGCGCTCCATCCCCGACATCCCATACGGTCCTCCGACCCGGCTAGGAATAAGTCATGAGTACCACTGGGTGTGACCCAATAAAACAACAAAATAAAGCAAGGGTCTGGAGTGATAGCACAGTAGGAAGGGCGTTTGCCTTGCATGTGGCCGACCCGGGTTCGATTCCCAGCATCCCATAGGGTCCCCCGAGCACCGCCCGGAGTAACCCCTGTGCATCGCTGGGTGTGACCCAAAAAGCCAAAAAATAAATAAATAAAATAAAGCAAAACCTACTTTTGGCAGAAAGTGAGGAGTAAGTTAAGAGTTTCTCTTCAAGGCTGAAGCAATAGGACAGTGAGTTGGGCATCTATCTGCCTGACACACGGTTTGAGCCCCACCAGGACTAAGCCCTGAGCATTGCCCGTGTGGCCCCCAAAACAGTTTTTCCTGGGGCTGGAGTGATAGCACAGCGGGTAGGGCGTTTGCCTTGCACGCAGCAAACATGGCCAACACAGGTTTGATTCCCAGCATCCCATATGGTGCCCCGAGCACCTCCAGGAGTGATTCCTGAGTGCATGAGCCAGGAGTAACCCCCGAGCATCGCTGGGTGTGACCCAAAAAGCCAAAAAAAAAAGTTTCTCCTAATATTTCTTGGAAGTTTTATCAGATTGGCTGGTCACTGTCCTCCCGTTGTTCATCGATTTGCTCGAGCGGGCACCAGTAACGTCTCCATGGTGAGACTTGTTACTGTTTTTGGCATATCGACTACGCCATGAGGAGCTTGCCAGGCTCTGCCATATGGGCGGGATCCTCTCAGTAGCTTGCCAGGCTCTCCAAGAGGGGCAGAGGAATCAAACCACTACGTAATCCAAAGTGAACTTCTGTAGTTTTCACCTGTCTGAAGAATGTTCTGGAACGAGGGAGGTTTGCCCTGTCTCCGACTTGAAATTGCTTGTGGGACTCAGAGCAGCCGCCAAGGGAATAGTCTGTGTGGTCGCAGAACGACCCCGAAGTGAGACTGCAGGCCGGCTTCCTGGGGTGTCCCCGTGCAGTGAGCCCCCCAGTGTGCGCTGCCGTTTGGCTGTCCCTGTGCGTCTGAGTGTGTCTGAGCCGTTTCTGAGCTCTGTGTCCCCGTGTGTCTCATCAGTTCTGGCCTCGTCCGGCATAGATTACGACATAAAGATCTGGTCCCCTCTAGAGGAGTCGAGGATTTTCAACCGGAAACTTGCTGACGAGGTAGGATTTTCCTGACACTCGGTGTCGAGCTGTCTTATTCCTGAAATGTGGGCGAGGGGTGGCGAGCGTACAGGGAGGGTGACGGGGGCCACACCCAAGGCGACTCCTGGCTCTGTGCTCGGCCCAGCTGGGGCAGACGCCTCTGCCGTCTCTCGGGCCCGGGATGCTTCTCAGGGATCCAGGCCCCTGCGTCAGGTGCTGCGGGGTGGGGGACGGGGGCAGACCCTGCTGTGGCCGGGTGCACTCACACCGCTCCCCTCCCGCCCCCCCCAGGTCATCACTCGCAACGAGCTCATGCTGGAGGAGACACGCAACACCATCACCGTGCCCGCCTCCTTCATGCTGAGGATGCTGGCCTCGCTCAACCACATCCGGGCAGGTGAGCGGGCAGGTGAGCGGGCAGCACCTTGCTCAGCCACAGCAGGGCGGGGTAGTGGGCGGGGCCTCGCTCAGCCAATCCGGGCAGACGAGGGGGCGGGGCTACTCGGCACATCTGGATGGATGAGGGGGCGGGGCCTCGCTCAGCCAATCAGAGTGGGTGAGGGGGCGGGACTCGCTCAAACAATCTGGGCAGATGAGAGGGCTGGGGTACTCAGTCACATCCAGGCGGTCGAGGGGGCGAGGCTTCTCCCAGCCACATCTGGGCAGGTGAGGGGGCGGGGCCTCGCCCAGCCACATCTGGGCAGGTGAGGGTGCGATCTGGGTAGGTAAGGGGGCCGGGCCTCGCCCAGCCACATCTGGGCAGGTGAGCTTCCGGGAAGGCCCATCACCTGCAGATGTCACTGAAGATGCAGACAGAGGGTCGTGAAGCAGAGTTAGCTGTGGGGTGGATGGGGACAAGACAGCGTGTGTGGGTGCGTCACGCAGGCCAGCCTACCCAGTGCCCGGTCCCTGCTCCTTGGGGCTGTTTTCCCCGGGCCAGGGGATGAGACCAACCAGCACCATCTCTGGGCACTCCCGGGTCTTGTGGGCATGTGGCGGGGGGCCCAGCACTGCCCTCAGCCAAGCCCCGTGTCTTGCAGACCGCTTGGAGGGGGACCGGTCCGAAGGCTCCGGGCAAGAAAACGACAACGAGGACGAGGAATGACGGACTCCTCCTGGCGAGCCCTTAGCCGCTCCAACGTTTGTCTGACATTGATGCCCTTTGCCCTGTACGGAGCTTTCGTGCAATTTTAAGGCTGTGGTGTTTGGCGTTTGTTCCCCTTCCGGGAGGACACCTGGAACGTTGCTGTGGAGTGAGTGTGTGCATGAATCCAGGAGCGTTTGCGAAGCCAAGGTTGGGGAGGCTTGGGCCACGCGTGAGGAGAGCTAGAAGTGCAAAGTGCAATATCCCCACCCGGGCGGGGAGCCTGGACCCTCCCCTCCCAGCCGGGGGTGGGAAATGCCGGTCCAGAGAAATTTCTACACTTGCCATTCGCATGTTTGTTGCTTTCTGATTAAAGGAGTTGGTTGTTTTAAGAGGCCCCGAGTGTGACTCGCGCTCAGAGCTACCCCTCTTCGGGCCCCTCGCCCGCCTTCTAGATTTACCTTCGGAGAAGCGCCTTTCTCTCTTCCCGCTCCATCCCCTGCCCTGCTGGGGTGGGCCTGGGGCCGACGGGATGGTGAGCACAGGGCAGGGGCACCCACACACACCCCGCCAAGCACAGATGCACAAGGCCCACAGCGGTGCCGAGGAAACCAGCTTTAATGGAGGTAAACCGACTACTAAATACTCAGGCGTGTTTATAAATACTGATTCCACAAGAACCCTGGACGCCGACAGACCCCCCCCCCCCCCCACAAACACCGAGTGACCATGGGGTCAGCCTGTTTGGGCGGAGGGTCCTGGCCGGACCCGGTGTCCCTGCTGCAGGGTCAGCTCCGGGCTGCGACCGTCACCCCCAGGCCCAGTGCAGTCACCTCAAGGGTCGACGACAACCCAGTGTCTTCTGCCACGCCCAGCACCCTTCCTTCAAAGGGTGGGGGTGGGATGGCCTGGCGGCCCACCCTGGGCTCAGAGCTGGCCACATCGGTGACGCCCGTGCCCCTCCTGGGGCTTGGGTCCCCCTCTCCTGCCACTCTGATGGCAGTGCCACTGAGTTTACGCTTCTCCATCCCACCCCCTCCGCAAACCTGAGGTTCTGTTCCCTTCTGGCCCCCTGGCTTCCCAGGGGTTCCGCCAGCCCTCCACCCCCTTTTCAAGAGGCCGGTCTCCCGTGGGGGGAAGGCTGAGGGGTGTCGCCGTCTGGGGCCCCACCCCAAGCCTACTTCCGGGGCCACTCACACCTCACATGTGCACATTCTGGCCAGCGAGTGTCCCACGGAACCGGGGCCTGGTGAGGTCTGGGTCACTGACGGAAGGGACTCGCCTTCACCTCTGGAAACGGCCCCTCCTGCCCACCGTGGAATGGACGGTATTGCCGGAGGGAGGAGGAGGGCGAACTGGCCCTCCCGGCACCCGGGGTCAGGTCCCAGCGGGAGAGGTTCAGTGCCTCGCGGCCGGTGTGCACTGGACACGGGATGTGGGTGACAAGAGTCAGCCTCATTGGGCCATCAGGCGCGTGCATGGGGCGACTCCCCTGTCTCTGACAGTTGGTCACGGCCTGTGCGGTCAGCACGTCCCCTCCTCGATGCTCTGCAGCTGCGGCCGCGGGCCAGGTGTCCTACTCCCACGGCGGCCCCCGAAGCCGGGCACTGGGCTGGGCCGCACGGCTACCAGCACCCCGGGCAGGGCCTCCTCCCCGAACAGGTTCATCTTGGCTTCAGCCTCGATGGCTCGGGCCAGGCTGGCGGCGTAGCTGTCCAGGGACTTGTGCACGTCGGCCTTGACGTGGAGGATGGCGTTTCTGGAAGCGTCTGGGGAAAAGGCGGGGCCGCGTGAGCGAGGGGCCAGGGTGCCTGTGGCCCCCCACCACACCCCGAGCACGGCACGGCGGGGTCGGGGGTTCATACTCAGGACACTGCATACACCTCTGTCCATTCAGGGCACTTCCAGGGGAGAGCCCCTGCACCCCCCCTCCCCAAGAGTGGCTGCCACCCTCACACACCCTCAGGAGGGACCTCTGCTGCCTGGGCATAGGGGTGTGTGTGTGTGTGTGTGTGCGTGTGTGTGTGTGTGTGTGTCTCAGTGGATGGAACCATGGGCATGCACAGAGCTCTGTGCAAATGTGTGTGTAAGTGAGCACACTGGAGTGTGTGTGCAGGCGTGTAAGCGCACAGATGTATGTGTATTCATGTATTCATGTGTGCCTACTGTGTGTACCCCAGTGTGCTTATGCATCTGTGAGGATGTGTGTGTCCGACCAGGCGCGTGGGAGATGGGCCTAGTGCTCAGGGGAGGATGTGGGGGGAGGGATGCAGTCCCCTCTGCGCCCCCCCCACCGACTCAGGCCACAGATGCTGACCTTTGACCTGTTCCACTTCATCCTCGAAGGTCACGGAGCTCCTCCTCCTGGGGGGGCACGTGCAGTGGGAAGGCGCGTCCTCGGTCGGGTAGTCCTCCAGCAGCATCACATCGGTCCCTGCAAGGGGCACGTTAGCAGCACCAGCCTTGCGCCACGCATCGTGGACTGCAGCCTAGGTGGGTCCCTTAGTGGCCGGGTCCCTTCCGCCAGGCACAGCTGTGCAGTTCAGGACGTGGGGGGTGTGGCCAGGACGCAGCAGGGGCGGGGTCAGGGGTGATTGGGGCACGGGCTACGCTGCGGTGGGGGCGTGGCCAGGAGTGATTGGAGCGTGGCATGGGCGTGGCTGTGGCATGAGGAGGTGTGGCACAGGTATGACCATGTGACAGGGGCGTGGCCAGGAATGATTGGGCATGGCTGTGCTGCGGGGGGCGTGGTCAGGAGTGATTGGGGCGTGGCATGGACGTGGTAGTGCCTGTGCAGGGACGTGGTCAAGGGCGATAGGGCCTGGCCAGGAGTGATCGGAGTATGGCATGGGCGTGGCTGTGACATGGCAGTGGGCGTGGTCAGGAGTGGTTGGGGCATGGCATGAGCGTGATCATGTGACAGGGGCATGGCCAGGAGAAATTGGGGCATGGCATGGGCATGTTCAATATGCGTAGGGGCATGGCCAGGGGTGATTGGGGCATGGCATGGGCATGTTCGATATGCGTAGGGGCATGGCCAGGGGTGATTGGGGCATGGCATGGGCATGTTCAATATGCGTAGGGGCATGGCCAGGGGTGATTGGGCGTGGCTGTGCTGCAGCAGGGGCGTGGTCAGGAGTGATTGGGGCGTGGCATGGCTGTGGCAGTGCACGCGTGGGGGCGTGGTCAATGGTGATCGGGGCGTGGCCAGAAATTATTGGGGCGTGGCCAGGAGTGGTGGGAGTATGGCATGGGAGTGGCTGTGACATGGCAGGGAGCGTGGTTGGGAGTGTTTGGGGCGTGGCACAAGCGTGACCATGTGACAGGGGCGTGGTCAGGAGAAATTGGGGCACCGCATGGGCATGTTCGAGATGCGCAGGGGCGTGGCCAGGAATGATTGGGCGTGGCTGTGCTGCGGCAGGGGCGTGGTCAGGAGTGATTGGGGCGTGGCATCGATGTGGTAGTGCCCCCCGCGGGGGCGTGGTCAATGGTGATTGGGGCGTGGCCAGGAGTGGTGGGAGTATGGCATGGGCGTGGCTGTGACATGGAAGGGGGCGTGGTCGGGAGTGGTTGGGGCGTGGCACAAGCGTGACCATGTGACAGGGGCGTGGTCAGGAGAAATTGGGGCACCGCATGGGCATGTTCGAGATGCGCAGGGGCGTGGCCAGGAATGATTGGGCGTGGCTGTGCTGCGCGGGGCGTGGCCAGTGATTGGGGCGGGGCAGGGAGAGATGGGGCGTGGCCAGGCAGGCTCACCTGAGTCCTGGGAGCAGCTGAAACCGGTGTCTCCCGTGCTGCTGCTGTTCCCCAGGGGCTGACCGCCTGCCATGAGCGCCGTGAGGTGCGGGGACAGGCCCAAATCTGAAATGCAAACCTGGCTGTGACCCTGCTGCCCCGCCCAGAGGCCCTCCCAACGCCCCTGGCCCCCCCACTCTGCTCAGCGTTCTGGGGAGGGGAGCCGGTCTCACGGGCCCAGGGGCATCCCCACGGGGAGTGGGTGGCAGGGATGGTGATCCGGGTGCAGAGACAGAGAGAGAAGGAAGGAAATAACAGAAAAGTAACAATGGCACCTGGGTGCCCAGGAAGTGTGGGGCCAAGGGGTGGCAGACCGCCCGCCCAGGGCTGAGTCTAGCATCACCCACTACGGTGAGGGTGACCCCGGAGAGGCAAAAGTGGCACCAAGGGACAGGCTCCCGGGCCCCAGCTGGGCGGGCCTTGGACCCTTCAGAACCAGGAGTGACCAAAGACAGGGTCAGGGCCGCGGGCGGCTGAATTCCCTGCGGTATGGGGGTTCTCTGGGTGGGGGTTCAAACCCAGGTCTGCCCTGTGCAATGCAAGGCGAGTACCCTGCCGACTGTACTATCACTCCAGCCCCCAGTTCTGCTGTTTTCTATTTGTTTTTATTTTGAGCTGGGGGGCTGGGGGGGCTCAGGGGTTACTCCAGGTGGGGCTGGAACTTGGCCAGTGCAAATCAGGCATTTTGCCCACTGTCCTTCCTGGCCCCCTAATTAAAAGGGTTTTGTTGTTATTTTTCTAAATAAAAAATAAATCATGGAGTAATAGTCCAGCGCGGAGGGCGTTTGCCTGGCACGGGGGTGGGTGCAGGTTGGTCCCCGGCATCATCCCATAGGGTCCTCGGAGACCCGCCAGGATAGGAATGATCCCTGAGCACAGAGCAAGGAGGAACCCACTGAGCACCACCCAATGTGGTCCCAAAACAAAAAGATGCTCAAAGATGAATTCTTTGTGGGGCTGGAGCAATAGCACAGCAGGGAAGGCATTTGCCTTGCACCAGTGACCGATTCGGGTTCGATTCCCGCATCCCATATGGTCCCCCGAGCACTGCCAGGAGTAATTCCTGAGTGCAGAGCCAGGACTCAGCCCTGAGCATCGCTGGATGGAACCCCCCCCCAAAAAAAGAATGAATTAGGGGACCAGAGAGATAGCACAGCAGGGAGGGCATTTTCCTTGCACGTGGCTGACCCGGGTTCAATCCCCGGCATCTCATAGGGTCCCCTGAGCACCGCCAGGAGTGATTCCTGAGTGCATGAGCCAGGAGGAACCCCTGAGCATTGCCAGGTGGGACCCAAAAAGAAAAAAATAAAAGATGTGCTCTTTGGAAATTAGGGGTATCCATGGCGCCTTGAGTTCCATGTCCTAAAAGGAACAGGATATGGTTCACGGGCCTGGGCTTGGCGGCTTCCGGTGAAGCCTCGCCAGCCTGGGCAGACCTGGACGGCTCCGCCCGCGAGCCGGCGAGGCAGGTGAGGTGCTACAGGGTCGCTGGTGTTGGTTGGGCCCCTGAGTGCCACCCATCAGCGCTCAGAGTGCCAGGGTGGCACACGAGATTGCGATGTGTGGGGCCAGGCGTCAGCCCTGACCTGAGCATCGCCGGGTGCGGACCCCAAGTCCAAAACCAACCAACCAACCCTCCCGCGCACCTGTGATGCGCGTGGACACGCTGAAGAGGCGCGCGGTGCGTGGCCGCGGCACGAAGGGCTCCCGGTAGTAGCGATCCCCAAAGCACAGTCCTAGCAGCTCCTTGCGGACCGTCTTGTTCCAAAGCCCATAGATAAGTGGGTGGCACACGGCACTGGAGAAGGACAGCCACGTGGCCCAGGTCTCGAGCGCCGGCGCCACGGAGTTCTTGCCCCACAGCGCCTCGGACGTGATCACCAGCATGTAGGGGCCCCAGGTGCCCGTGAAGGCGCCGATGACCACCAGGATGGTGACCAGCGCTTTGCACTGGTTGGCCGAGTAGGCCACGGCCTGCAGCGGGTGGCGCCGGCCACCGGCCCCGCCGCCCGACGACGACGACGTGGACGTGCTGGAGTTCTTGCGGCCAGCGCTGCCCGCCGGGTCCTCGCCGGCCGCCACCACGGCCCCGCAGTGCACCTTGCGCGCCTTGAGGCGGGCCACGCGGAAGATGACCCCGTAGCACACCAGCATGGCCGAGAAGGGCAGCAGGGCACACCACACCTGCCAGAAGGCCGTGTAGCCCGGCTCGCGGTGCCAGGCCGCCACGCACATCCACTTGAACTCGTCGAACTCCACCGCCGACCAGCCGAACAGCGGCGGCAGGCAGCCCACCAGCGAGTGCAGCCAGATGTACACCACCACCATCACGGCCCGGTTCCCCGTCACCTTCATGGGGTACACCATGGGGTAGAGCACGGCGTAGTAGCTGCGGGTGGCAGGGAGAGAGGCGGGGAGGGAGCTCAGTGCTGGCTCGCAGGGTCAGGGGTGTGTGTGTGTGTGTGTGTGTGTGTGTGTGTGTGTGTGTACGCACGAAGGCAGGGGGAGAGGCGGGGAGGGAGCTCAGTGCTGGCTCGCAGGGTCGGGGGGGGGGTGTGTGTGTGTGTGTAGTCAGGGGAAGAGGCAGGGAAGGGCTCAGTGCTGCTGACTGGCCTGGCCAAGGGTATGTATATGTGTGTGTGTGTGTGTGTGCGCGTGCGCGTGTGTGTGTGTGCACGCACAAAGGCAGGGAGAGAGGCGGGGAAGGGCTCAGTGCTGACTCGCCTGGCCAGGGGTGTGTGTGTGTGTGTGTGTGTGTGTGTGTGTGTGTGTGTGTGTGTACGCACGAAGGCAGGGGGAGAGGCGGGGAGGGGGCTCAGTGCTGGCTTGCCTGGCCCCAGGTGTGTGTGTGTGTGTGTGTGTGTGTGTGTGCATGTGTGTGTGTGTGTGTGTGCACGCACAAAGGCAGGGGGAGAGGCGGGGAAAGGCTCAGTGCTGGCTCGCCTGGCCAGGGGTGTGTATGTGTGTGTGTGTGTGTGTGTGTGTGTGCATGTACACATGAAGTCTCCCCTTTGTTTGGGGTTTTTTTTTGGCCTTTTTGGGTCCCACCCAGCGATTCTCAGGGGTTGCTCCTGGCTCTGCACTCAGGAATCACTCCTGGCGGTGCTCGGGGGACCCTAGGGGATGCTGGGAATCGAACCCGGATCGGTCGCGTGCCAGGCAAAAGCCCTCCCCGCTGTGCTATCGCTCCAGCCCCGCAGTGCCCCCTTTCCCCAGAACGTCGACTGTCCCTGATGGGGGGGTAGCTCCAGAGACCCTATGTAATGTCAAGGATGTAGCTGGGATTGGCCACTTGCAACACCCTCCGCTCCCTCGCAGTGCTCAGGGGTTACTCCCACTGCGTTCAGGGGTTAATGGGATGCCCTGGACGGAGCCCCCAGTGGGCCGTGTGCAAAGCCAGCACCCTCCTTGCTGCACGGTGACGCCAGGTCCTTCCTGCCTAGTTCTCAGTAGGCGATGCCTCATGTGGCCTCACCTCACCTCAGGGTTTTGGTGCAGAGACCCCCAGGGTGCCCCCGCGTAGCCTCCAGCAGGCGCCTGGGCTTCCCGCTTTGCTCCATCTCCCGGCCCCCGCCTTCACTCTACAAAGTGGGGAACCCACCTCGGCCCCTTTAAGAAGCCCAGCCCCCTCCCCAGGCCAACTGGCCGGGCACAGCCAGCCAGGGCACATGACCACTGTTGTTGACCCTTCCACGGTGCCCCTCTCCTGGCCTTTGCCAGCACCCCGTTATTACCATCTCACAGCAAGACTCGCTGTGGTGACCAGGGAGAGTATTTATAGTCTCGCTGGCATGGTTCCTGCCAGCCGGCCAGCTCTCATTGGATGCAGAAAGCGGTGGGGCGCCAAGGGCTCATGACCCCCGTGAGAGGGCCCCACTGCCCAAAGCTCGGCCCCTGCCCATCACAGAGACACTTGGGCTGAGAGTGGCTTCCTTCTCTGTAAAACTGATCACTGCGGGGGCTGGAGCAATAGCACAACAGGGAGGGTATTTTGACTTGCACATGGCCAACCCGGGTTCGATTCTCGGCATCCCACAGGGTCCCCCGAGCACCGCCAGGAGGGATTCCTGAGTGCAGAGCCAGGAGGAACCCCTGAGCATTGCCGGTGGGACCCAAAAAGTAAAAAATCAAACAAACAAAAAAAACTGATCACTGTGGAAGCCAAGCAATTGTACAGCGGGGAGGGCGCTGGCCTTGCACGCTGCTGACCTGAGGTCCTGAGGTCAATCCCCAGCATCCCATAGGGTCCCCCGAGCACCACCAGGAGGGATTCCTGAGTGCAGAGCCAGGAGGAACCTCTGTGCATCGCCGGGTGTGACCCAAAAAAGAAAGAAAATAATAATAATAAAAAAGATAGGCTGGAGCAATAGCACTGTGGTAGGGCCTTGGCCTTGCACGTGGCTGACCCGGGTTCGATCCCCGGCATCCCTTAGGGTCCCCCGAGCACCGCCAGGAGGGATTCCTGGGTGCAGAGCCAGGAGTCAGCCCGAGCACCGCCAGGTGGGACCCAAAAAAGCAAAATAAAGAAGCAACTCCCGGAGCGTCTTCAGGGTCCCGGGTGGGTGGCCGCGGGGTGACCCCCTCTCCCCCACAACGCCCTGCGCGCGCGCAGGCTTACCGGTCAACAGCGATGACCCCCAGGGTGAGCATGCTGGCCGAGCTGATGAGCAGGTAGAGGAGCGCCGAGAAGTTGCACCAGACCACGCCGAAGATCCAGGCGCGGCGCAGGGCGCTGGTCACCACGAAGGGCAGCACCAGCACGGCCAGCAGGAAGTTGGACAGCGTCAGGCTGAAGACGAACTTGTTGCTGAGCGTCAGCAGGTAGGACCTCTTGTAGAGGGTCACGGCCACCACCAGGTTGCCCAGGCACACCAGCACGGTGATGAGGACGATGACCACGAACTCGGCCACGCCGGCCGCGCCGCCCGCCGCGCCCAGCTGCTGCTGCTGCGTCAGGTTGCCCAGGGAGGAGTTGGCGCTCATGGTCAGCACGGCCGGGCGGGGGCAGGGCCAGGGTCCAGCATGCTGCGGCGCTGCGGGGCAAGGGGACCAGCGGCTCAGCAGGGCGCCCCCAGAGGCCGTGGCCCGCGGCGCCCCTCTTTCCTCCAGCCCACCTGGACTGCAAGATGCGGTCCAGCCTCCAGGGCGACCCCCCCCCCACCCCCGCACACACAGTGGTGTGTGCGTGGGGGGTTAAATTCCAGCTTTAGTGCAAGGCAAGAGGCACCCCCGGCTCTGCGCCCCACCCCTCAGTGTCCCAAGTGCCAGGTCATTTCTCCTGTCCCTTTGCTTTTTTTTTTTTTTCCTTCTTGGGTCCCACCCAGCGATGCTCAGGGCTGACTCCTGACTCTGCACTCAGGAATCACTCCTGGTGGTGCTCAGGAGACCCTAGGGGATGCCAGGGATCGAACCCGGGTCGGCCACGTGCCAGGCAAATGCCTTACACGCTGTGCTGTCACTCCAGCCCTGGTCTTCAATTTTTTTTTGGGGGGGGGGGGTTGCACCCGGGGATGCTCAGGGCTGACTCCTGGCTCTGCACTCAGGAATCACTCCTGGCGGTGCTCAGGGGACCCTAGGGGATGCCAGGGATCGAACCCGGGTCAGCCACGTGCCAGGCAAATGCCTTACACCCTGTGCTGTCACTCCAGCCCTGGTCTTCAATTTTTTTTTTGGTGGGGGTTACACCCGGGGATGCTCAGGGCTGACTCCTGGCTCTGCACTTAGGAATCACTCCTGGCGGTGCTCAGGGGACCCTAGGGGATGCTGGGAATAGAACCCGGGGCAGCTGCATGCAAGGCAAACGCCCTAACCACTGTACTATCGCTCCAGCCCCCTCTTGTCCCCTTTGGACTACTTTCCGGGCTGAGACACCATCTGCAGTTGTCTTTCTTTTTTTTCTTTTTGGGTCCCACCCAGCGATGCTCAGGGGTTCCTCCTGGCTCTGCACTCAGGAATCTCTCCTGGCGGTGCTCGGGGGATCCTATGGGATGCTGGGGATCGAACCCGGGTCAGCCGCGTGCAAGGCAAACGCCCTCCCCGCTGTGCTATCGCTCAGGCACTTTTTTTTTTTAAAGGCTTTTAGCCTTTTGGCAATGCACAGGGGTTGCTCCTGGCTCTGCACTCAGGAATCACTCCTGGCGGTGCTCAGGGGACTCTATGGGATATCGGGGATCGAACCCGGGTCGGCTATGTGCAAGGCCAACACCCTCCCTGCAGTCCCATGGCTCTGGTTTCTCTGCATTTTTCTCCCCTGACGCAATGTGACTTGCAGAATCTTGAGCTGGAAGGGAGTTGGTAGGTGGGCCTGTCACGCTCCTTGGGGAATGCGTCCGTTAGCTCTGTGGGTTCTGGGTGTCCTCAACTCTTAGAAATTACTGACTGGGGGACCAGAGAGAGAGCACAGCGGGGAGGGAGTTGGCCTAACACACGGCTGACCCGGGTTCGATCCCCAGCATCCCACAGGGTCCCCCAAGCCCCGCCAGGAGTGATTCCTGAGCGCAGAACCAGGAGTCAGCCCAGAGCATCACCAGGCGTGGCCAACATTTTTTAAATTAAAAAAATTTCATCAAGCACTAATAATCCTTTATTGCGTTTCCCTTTCCCCTATGTTATTTGCATGGTTTATTTACCAATGTCCTTTTTGTCTAGACACAGGAAGAGGACAGTTGGTGCTATGCTATGTAACATGGGAGTTCATTGACTGCAAATTGACTCTGGGGCTGGAGTGATAGCACAGTGGGTAGAGCATTTGCCTTGTATATGGTTGACCTGGGTTCGATTCCCAGCATCCCATAGGGTCCCCCAAGTACCGCCAGGAGTAATTCCTGAGTGCATGAGCCTGGAGTAACCCTTGTGCAACACCAGATGTGATCCAAAAAAGCAAAATAATAATAATAATAATATTTACTCCTGGGCATTGGCTGGAGCAATAGCATAGCGGGTAGGGCGTTTGCCTTGCAGGCGGCTGACCCGAGTTCGATTCCTCCACCCCTCTCTGAGAGCCCGGCAAGCTACCGAGAGTATCTCGCCCGCACAGCAGAGCCTGGCAAGCTCCCCATGATGTATTCGATATGCCAAACACAGTAACAACAAGTCTCACAATTTGTTGTGAACCGTTACTGGTGCCCGCTCGAGCAAATCGATGAACAATCGGAGGACAGTGCTACTCCTGGGTATCTGTCATATTTACTTGACTTAAGCCTCAGTTGCCCTTATTTCCTAGCACTCCAAGAGCAGGGTCCCGACGAGGGACTGGATGGACCCAGGACAAGCTGTGAGCTACCCTGGCATCGAAATGGGCCTGGCTAAGCGCCACAATACTTAACTGTAAGTTAAGAGAACAGTCATGGACTTTTTTTTTTTTTTTTTTGCTTTTTGGGTCACACCCGGCTGTGCACAGAGATTACTCCTGGCTCTGCACTCAGGAATTATCCCTGGTGGTGCTCAGGGGACCATATGGGATGCTGGGAATCGAACCCGGGCCGGCCGTGTGCAAGGCAAACGCCCTCCCCGCTGTGCTCTGGTCACAGGCCCCTCCAGCTTGTATTTTGTTTCTTTTGTTTGTTTGTTTGTTTTTGTTTTGCTTTTGGGGTCACACCCGACAATGCACAGGGGTTACTCCTGGCTTTGCACTCAGGAATTACCCCTGGCGGTACCCAGGGGACCATATGGGATGCTGGGAATCGAACCCGGGTCGGCCGCGTGCAAGGCAAACACCCTACCCGCTGTACTATCGCTCCAGCCCCTGGACTTTTTTTTGATTACTAATTGGGGGTTGGGGGAGCCTGGACCCTCTCAGCAAGTCTCCACTAACCGGACACCCTGCACGCGAGGATGAGGGTCTGGTTGGCTTTGCACTGCTGGCGACTGTCCAGGCCAGGGGTATTTGGGGGCTTGCAGAACTGCAGGCAGAGGGAGACATGCGGGGCTGGGGAATGAAGCAGACCCGCGGCCGCTCCTGACCCTGCCCTAGCTCCGGCCCCCTACAAAGCTCCATTGCTCAAATGCCATCTGCATTTTTTTTTATCTGATTTTGTGTTTTGGAGACACACCCAGCGATGCTCAGGGCTGACTCCTGGCTCTACACTCACTCCTGGCGGTGCTCAGGGGACCCTATGGGATGCTGGGGATCGAACCCGGGTTGGCCTCATGCAAGGCAAGCACCTGCCCCGCTGTGCTCCGGCCCTTTGCTGTTGTTGGGGCTCTTTGTGGTTGCTTCACAGTGCCGGCGTGCCAAACTGGGATTCACCAGGTACAACATGCTCTGTTCACCTAATCTGAGTCTTAGCCCCAGACACATCCTTTTCTTTTCTCTCTTTTTTTTTCTTTTTGGGTCACACACACAAAAAAAGAGGTTACTCCTGGCTCTGCACTCAGGAATTACTCCTGGCAGTGCTCAGGGGACCCTATGGGATGCTGGGAATCGCACCCAGGTCAGCTTTGTGCAAAGCCAATGCCCTCCCCACTGTGCTATCACTCTGGCCCCTCCCCAGACACATCCTTAACTCTGCAGTTCAACATATGAGGGGCTAAGAAAACCAGACTTGGGGTCAGAGCCATAGTCCAGCGGGGAGGGTGCTTAACTTGAACATGGCAGACCCGGGTTCGATCCCCGGCATCCCATAGGATCCCCTGAGCATTGCCAGGAGTGATTCCTGAATGCAGGGCCAGGAGTCAGCCCTGAGTACCGCCGGGTGTGACCCAACACACCTCCCCACCCCTACACCGTAATTTTTTTTTTTTAAAGGAAAGGGCTGGAGCGATAGCACAGCGGGGAGGGCGTTTGCCTTGCACACGGCCGACCCGGGTTCAATCCCCAGCATCCCATCGGGTCCCCCGAGCACTGCCAGGAGTAATTCCTGAGTGCATGAGCCAGGAGGAACCCCTCTGCTTCGCCAGGTGTGACCCAAAAAGCAAAATAAATAAATAAATATAATATAATAAAATAAAATGGAAAAAGAAAACAAGATTTTCAGGCCGAGGACAGCTGAGGGGGTTAGAGTTCAAGGTCTGCTTGAAGGGTCCCGGGTTCGAGTTCCACCCCCCCCAAGCCCCCCCCAGCACTGTTACGAGTGACCCCCCAGAGCGGAGCTGGAAGTAATTCCTGAGCATCACTGGGTGTGGCCAAAAAAACCAGAAAGGATAAGAAGTGTGTGTGTGTGTGGGGGTGGGGGGGGGTGAAGACAAAACTTCCACGGAGCCACGGGGGGGAGCGGGGTGGGCGTCCTTGGGCTACCCCAACACCCTTCCCTGAGAGTCACAGGACACCCCTGGTCACCGAGATGCCCGCCCAGTTGCAGCCGGCCCTGCCACCCCACCCCCCGCCCCTGTGGGCGCCCCACAAGCCCCAGCAAATCCCAGGGCGGGATCGGGGCAGCAAGTCAGGGGTGCTGGGCGGCTCCGGGCCCGCGGCCAGTGCCGGCGCCCACGGAGGATGGGAGGGAGGGCGGGGGGAGGACTGTGACTCACGGCCCCGCCCCTGTGAGTCCTGTGCCAGGCCCAGAGGCGGTGGTACCCTGTGCCCTCATCAAGTCCCCCCCAACCACACCCCAGGGTAGCCGGCTGCTGGGACGGACCACCAGGGCTGAGGCAGGGCAGCCGACTCAGAAGCTGCTTCTGAGCTTCCAGAATGTTCCGGAAGGGAGGGCCGTGGGAGCGGCCGCTGGCCACAGCCCCGGGCCTTTCACAGCCAAGCCGGGGTGGAGGCGGCTCTGCAGGAGGGGGACCCACTCCAGCACCGCCCCGAGCACCCACGGGCCCAGGCTGGATGCAGGACCCCAGGGGGCGGACCCCAGGTCCTTCGCTTATCCTGCCCGGAACCTTGGCTTTGGGGCCACACCCCAGGATGCTCAGGGCTGACTCCTGGCTCTGCTGTGCTCAGGGCTTACTCCCGGTGGTACGGGGGACGTGAAGGGTGCCGGAGATTGAATCCGGGTCAGCCGTGTGACGGCAAACACCCTCCCACTAACACACCCGCTCTGGGCCCCAGAAACTTC